GGCATGTGGGATCTTTCCGGACCGGGGCACGAACCCATGTCCCCTACATCGGCAGGCGGACTCTCAACAACTGCACCACCAGGGGAGCCCCCTATAAAGATATTTTTGATAAATATCTTTCTTATTCTTATGTGTGAATTCAACAGTGGCTATAACTAAAAGTATCTAAAAGTAAAAGTCGAATACTGGATTAATTAAAAAGGACCAAAGTTTATAACTACTTAGCTCCAAGTAACTAAAATACGCTTAAATTCTAGTTTAATTCTCCTTCTTCCTCCACAGAATGACCACAGGACAGCACACTTATTCATTTTCTAAGAAGCAAAATCTTGGCAGTTAGCTCTGTGAGTTAAGAACCTAGAGAAAAATAAGTAAGAATTGAAGTTCCTATCCTTGGGTAGGATGCTTTGTTCACAAATATTTAGTGGTATTTCAAAAGAATCAATGTGTATAAAGGAAATAAAAATCCCAAATATGGACCAATGATGGAAATATGTTATGAATCAAAAATTATGTTTAGTCTAATTCAGCAGTCTAATTCAGTAGTCGTTTCATTCATTTTTAGAACTACTTAATATTACATTTTATGTTCCTCCACAAATGACTTAAACACTTCCATATTGGTATAGCACTGGCTGGTAACTGTGTGGCAACCCACAAGCCCATGGAAGACTCTGTGTTTGAGAAGTGATTAAAGATGGTGCTTTCATCACTTTTCATTGAACCATCATTAAAACATGGGCAAACTAGATAAAAGTAACACCCGGATGGACCAATGGTGAATGTGGATTTGGCATGAAGCATGGATGTTGATTGATCACACATGTTCTCTGAGGTCCATTATAAAAGGAGATTTTGTTCCTGGAATTTTATGATTGTATTGTTATTCATGGATCAATTAATAAGTAAATACAGAAAGAACAACGTGTCTGGATCGATGATGAGTTCCATGGGGTATCTGAAACAGGAGTTTTGATTAAACCCATATGCAATTCTGAGGTCCGTTGCAAAGAGGCACATGTTTAAATTATTGCCTCTGTGGGAAATGAGCACATGGTACCTTGTGTTTGTACTTTTGTGGTTCTTGGGGATGGATTGTATTTTTATTATAAAGTTGAGCCATAAATAAGTGAAATGTATCAATGAATTTAAAAATATAATAAGTCATGTACCTATTATTAAGGAATGTAACGAAACATGGATTGTTATTAAAATCCAGCTGAGACTCTGACTCTTTACTATACATTAATAGTAGAGACTGTTACTGCTCTGGAAAGTGGTATATGTATGGTCATTTGTATATAACAGTTTTTGTTCTGTGGTGGTGGTGGGTTGCTGACTGGTTGTGGTATTAAGGAAATGCAAATGCATCTACTTGTATAAATACTTGTTTAAATAACCACATAATTGAGAGCCAGAGACCACTGATGAGAATGTTTTGTAAGACAACACTTCTAATTAATCCAATCCTTGTTTTCATTGAGTTTTGTTAAAACAATAAAAAAAGAAGCAAGTCTGTTATTCTCAATGGCAATGACCATAGATAGACATAAATTTTGTTCAGTGTTCTTGTCTAGTGGATAAGATCACAGATACTGATACGTTTGTATAAGAGAAAGAAGGTATAATTTTATATCTTAATCTATTTTTTAGGAAGTCAGCAAACCACAGACCAATTCAGAACACATGTTTTGATATCAGGATACTGACTCATCTTGTTTTCTGAGTCAGATATTCTAGGAAAAATTCTAAGCTCTTCTCTTCTTTGAAAGGTACACCTGAACTTTTCCAAGTTCCAGTAATTTGATTCTGGGTTAGTGTCTAACCATTTTGAGTCTTCTTTAGAAAACTAAAGACATGATAATATTATTCCCTGAAAAATAAAATAAATCAGTAGGTGAATGAATCCATAAGTCCATATAGTGGAGGATCGGTGAGATTGTACCATGAAACATATTAAATATGTCCAATTCTGCAGAAGTCCAATAAGATGATCTTGGCTCTTCCTATGTAAGTAGCAAGTAAAGTCAGATATCTGTAATTGTAGTTTTAATTTTGTGTTGAACAATGAATTCGGTGGTATTCATATAATTTAATAGTAAAATTTAAGTAAGTAAATAAAAGAGTCCCATTCTCAGGAAAATGATGAGAATGTGTTATAGCAATTTGAAAAAAGCTAACTCTATAGTTTTTGATAATAGGCTCTTATTTTTCTTTATAGAATGAACACCACACATCTGATTTAATCATTCTCTAAAGGTGAAGACCCTTCCTTCTGAGACTAAGGAGCTTAAAGACCGAAATAAGGAAACATCAATGTTGGTGTTCCAAGCTCCAATGGGGGTTATTAATGGGATCCCACTAAATTATTTCAATAAAATAAATAGTTAAATAGTACATGAAATTAAGGAGTGCCAATTACCAGCCCATGACTGGAATGTGTCATAAACTAACATTTATGATTAATTTGACTCGGCCCAACTAAGGACCGTTACTAAAGTGATGGAGGGCATTTCACATATTTTCAGAGCAGTTTAACTTCCTACTTAATATTCTTGCCGCACTTGCTGAATCCATTTCTTCATTGATTAAGATCTCAGTTGTTGACTCTTTGAGGCTGGAGTACTTTGGAAGATGGCAGATGTCATTTTTGTCAGTTGTGGGCTAAGATGATAGGTCTGTGGTTGTTGATTACATTAGCTTTAATGTAAGGACGAATCAAGTGAAAGAGTAGCAGGTGGGCACTAATCTTAAGTAAGGGATTGATATGAAGCAAGCATGTTGATTAACCCCTACATGTAAAACAGAGCCTCACAGTGAACAGTGACTGAGTCTATTCACTCTACACGAACAGGGGCAACGAACAGAACTTGGTTGTATTTAAGGCTTTTGTTCTTAGTTTTGCGTCACCGAAGGTAATTGATTGTCTAATTATTCGTGAATTCATGAACGAGTGAATCAGTTCAAGAAGGCATAAGTGGATGAAGAAATAGAAGGACATGCCTGGGTCGATGATGGGTGTTGGTGGAGGTATCTGAGTCAATAACTTTGATTAAGCGCTCTGTGTAACTTTGAGGTCCACTATGGAAAGAGACCCAGTAAATATTCTCTGTAGACATTAACTAGTAGTAGAAGTTAGGAAAAGGCAATAAACTTGTTCCTGGGCTTTTGTGGTTCATGGATATGGATTGTATTATTGCAAGTGAATCAGTGCATGAATAAAGAAAGAAATGTGCATCTGAAAAACGAAGAGATCTGCTCATGGAGCAATCAGTAGAGTGCAATAAATTAAGGATTAATATCGATACAGTTCTGAAGTAGAATGAACAGGTTTAGTCTGCAGTCCTCTTTCACACGGAGCATACGAGTATCTGGTCAGGAGGCAATGTTTTGAGTTTTGGTAGTTTGCTATTTTTTAATTAGGAAAAGGAAAAGCGTTTGCATCAGTCAAAAATCTATTAAATAACCACGTACTTAACAGATGTTTCTATTCGTGGATATCTGTAATCATTACAGATCTTAATCTTGGGCTAAGTGGTGGAGTTAATAATGTTTATTATATTATTCATAACTAAGAATTCAATACTGGATTAGTAAAAAAATTACGTTTTTGAGCCAAAGTTTATTGTTATCTAGTTCTGCCTGGCTAACAATAATTAAAAAATTGAAATCTAGTCTGAATCTGCTTTTTTCCTCCCCAGAGTGAACACAGGACAGCTGATTTAATCATTTAATAAAGAATTGTTATCGCAAGCAAGGAGCATAAAGTCTAATATAAGTAAGTCCCTTGGTTCACATTCTTTGTTTGAATAGTTTATTCATGAGTGTTAGCTGAAGAATTCCAAAGTAATAATTATGTACTACATACATGAAATATATAAAACACTTCAAGTATGGACCAATGATGGGAATGTGTTACAAACCCCAAATTATGTTTAATCTAAATCAGCACAACTGAGGTCATTTTAAAAGCAGACAGAAGTTATTTAATTTATTTTCCTAGCTATTTAATATTATTTTCTATTTTCTACCATGGTTGATTTCACCATTTGCATATGGGTAGAGGGGCTGATAACTCTTTGTGGGCAGCCCAGAGGTGATTCAGATGGTGGTTTCATTATTTTTCATGGAACCATCTTTGACATACAGATGAATTAAATAAAAGAGGGCCACGCAGGAAGCAATGCTGAATGTGGGTTTGATACAAAGCCGGGATGTTGATCCATCCACATGTGCAGGTTTGAGTTCCATTACAGAAGAAATGTCGTTTATTAGCTCTATAGGGTGAGAGCCTAAAATTCAAGGATCTTGTTTTTGGAATTTTGTGATTGTATTATTTGTGCATCAGAAAATTAATAAATGAAAAAAATTTTCTAGCAAGTACCAGTGATGAATCTCATGGGGTTTGTGAAACAAGAATTTTGATTAAGCCCATCTGCAACTCTGAGGTCCGTAACGAAGAGACATCTCATTATTCTCTTTGTGGGAAATGAGCGCACAACACCTTATTCTCAGGCTTTTTGGTTTGGGGTATGAATAGCATTATTAGAATAAATTTAGCCTATGAATAAAGAAATATATCAGTGAATGAGGAATAAGAGAGATATATGTGTACTACTTTTTAAGGCATGCAATGAAACTTTGATAATTACGAAAACAATTTTGAGATTTTTAGTCCCAGTAAATTAATAGTCAAGGCTCTTATCATTTTTGTAAGGAGCATATGATCATTTGCACACAAAACTCAATGTTTTTGTTTTGTGTGGAGGCGAGTTGCCAATCAATCATTTTATTAGGAAAGAGAAATACATTTACATAAATAGTTGATTGAATAAACTGTGTAATTGGGAGGGAAAGCATTGAATGATGATGAGACTTTTATTCAGCCACATTTGTGATTAATTCAATCTTTTTATGCAATTTTATGTTGCATACAAACAAACTTAAATTAAAGGAACCAGTTTGCTATTCTTTTGGGTAATGACATTAGGACAAATGTAAATATTATTCAAGGTACTTATCCAGTGTGGGTGGGTCACAGATATTGAAGTTTAATTATAAGTGAACAAATGTATACATTTGTATCTCAGTCAATTTTTCAAAAAAGTCAGTCAATATTACCTCAATGGAAAGCATGCAATTGGATGTAAAGATTGCGATTCATCATGTTTTACACAACTGATGTCCACAGGAAGATAGAGTCATAGGCCTTTCCAATGGTGTACATAGACATTTGTAAATAATAGTGTTTCAGTTCTGTTTTGATGATTGTTTAAGCTTTTTGGAATTCTTTTAGAAAAATAAAGGGATGGTCTTATTATTCCATGAGTAATTAAATAAAGGAATTAGTGAGTGAATTAATAAATATATTAAGCAGGGTAAAGCTTGGACCATTGGTGAGATTGTGCCATGAGTTGAATCTCCCATGTATCCAATGCCACACAAATAAAGTTCAATAAAAAAGATGATCTTGGCTCTTCGTGGGTAGTAAGTAGAGAGACATATTCTTAATAATTATAGTTATTTTTCTTCTGTTTACTGCTAGATCCAGTGGTGTTCATTGTATTATTTAAAATTAAAAATTGCACAAGTTAATAAATATAAAGTAGAGCTCTCTCTTTCCAAATGTTGAGAATAGAATGCAAACCAAGGATTATTGTTACCTGATTATTGATGTTTAAAAATGGGTAATTGTAGATTGATTCTTTTTAAAATTTGCTTTTTACTGCTCAGAATGAACAACTCTACCATATTTGATTATTAGCCCATGGCAAAGATCTTGAGCTTTACCTCTTTGGATAAAGAGAGAAGAGATCTATGTAAGTAATAAAGTTCATGTTCTACTTGGGGGCCTTGGTCATGGGTATCCACTGAGATGTTTTGAAGGAATAAATGGCTACATACACAAACAATTCAAGGTGGATGACCAATGATTAAAGTGTGTTAGGAATTCAGAATTATGATTACTCCATTTCAGTATTTCAGCATGACTGAATTTATTAGGACAATAAGATGAAAGGCATTTCACTCATTTTCAGAAAATTTTAATATTCCATTTAATTTTTTTACCACAGTGGATATAAACTTCTCCATTGGTATTGTTATAGACCATGAACCCACTGAGGAGGAGAATATACAAAAATGGAAAATTTTGCATTTTTCTTAGTTGTGGTATAAAATGGAAGTTCATTGTTCATCTTTAAAATATGGATGTTAAGTGAAAGAGGTCCAAGCATGGACGAATGGCTAATATGGAACTGATATGATGCAAGGAAATGGATTCGCTCCTATTTTCAATGCTGGGCTGCATTGCACAAAGAGAGCTACTTCTCTAGCTCTGTAGGAAGTGAATGTTCACAGACATATTCATATCTTCAAGGATCTTGGTTTTATTTTCCTAATTAATGGACATTGACTGTATTATTATTAATGAATCAATGAATAAGTCAAGAACAATATATCAAACAAAGGCACAGAATACCAAGTCTGGATCAATGATGAGTATGCGTGGGGCATCTGAATAACATTTTGATTAAACCCAGTCTGTAACTCTGAGGTCCGTTGCATCTTTGGAAAATGTGCTTACGAAGTCAGAAATATTCAAGGATTGTGTTCTTGACCTTTTGTTGTTTATGAATATGGATTGTATTATTGTAAGTAAATAAATGTATGAATAAATAAAGTATAAATAAAGAGGAGGGCTACATCTTGTTCAATTATGAAAGGAGCTTATGAACCAAAAATGATTGTTAATACATTTCTGAAAATTTGAGTTCAATAAAATAGACCAAGGCTACTCCTCCTTTGGGAGCATAGATATATGTGAACATCAGTGTCGTTCTTGGTTGGTGGTGAGTTTCTGGTTGTATGTCTTACTTTAAGAATATTTACATAACTGTACAATAATAAATATATTCAATAGTAATATAACAAATCATGATAAACATATTAATATAACATATTTAATAAGTAGTAGTTTAATATAATCAATAATGAAAAAATAAAATACAAATGATTAAATAGTTATTGAAACATACAAAAGGTCTAAGCATGAGAATATACTCATTATGAATCCTCTTGTGTTCATTGATTTTTATTTTTATAAAAGTAAATCCATGTTGTTTTTGTGAGTAATCATCAAATGGATAGATTTAGTGTCTCTCAGCACCTTTGTCAAGTGTTCTTAGGCTTCACCAATATTGGTGCTATTATTATAAGTGAGTAAAAGCATAATTTCATATCTCAATCTATTATTTAAAAGAGTACAAACTGTGGGCCCGTTAGGAGCATATGTAATATGTGAAGGAGCATGATTAATCCTGTTTTATTGCCTAGAAATCCACTTAAATAAAAAAGATCTGAGCCCCTCCATCTTTAAGGAAGGATCACATAGACCCCACTCTCTAAACACATCTTGCTGTTAACATTTAAGTTCAAACAGCCAAAAATAAAAATTTAGTTCCTTAGTAACACTAGGCACATTTCAAGCTATAAGTGGCCAGTGGCTACCATTTTGGTCATTGCTGATAGAGAAAGTTGCATGTAATAGTATTTAGTTTTGAATAGCAGATGGCTCTATCAGTTCGTATTTCCTTTCAAAAAAAAAAAGTCTAGATAATTAAATTATGCTTAGAATTATTAAATAAATGAGTGAATAAATGAATCAATAAGTACATAGTTAAAGTATATGGCACCAAGGGGTCAGATTGTGTTTTGAAATAAGAATTTAAATTTATCACATTTTGCAAAAGTTTTCCCCATTAAAAAAATTATGTGGCCTTTTTGCGATTATGTAGGGGTATAGACAAATATTAATAATAGCTATAGTCCTTTTATTGGGCGATAGATTAAAACACCTTCATAAAAACATTTAAGAAGTCTTCATTATTTTATTTCACACTAAAAATTAAGTCAATAGATGAAAAGGATACCACTGTTGGATGGATTGATGAAAATGTGACACAAACCAATGTTTCTGGTTAATCTAGTAATGCAGAACTAACTTCTATTTTAAAAATCTAAGTTTACACTTTTCATTCTTTTAAAAATCTGCCTTTTCCTTCTGAATGAACACTCCACGTTGGATTCAGTCGTTGTCCAATGATGAAGGTCTTAGCTGTTACTTCTGTAGGTAAGGAGCAATGTAAGTGACAATCAAAGTTTCTGTGTTTTGCTTGTATGGTTTGTTCATGTGTGGTCACTGAGGTAGTTCAAGAGAGCAAAAGGCTGTATACATAAAAACCAAATCCAAGAACACCAAGTATGGACCAATAGTGAAGAATGTGTTATGGGCCTAGGAGTAGAAGGAACACATTTCAGCACCTCTGAGATTCATTTTAAAAAGAAATGAAAGGCATTTAATTAATTTTCAGAACGATTTGCTATTTCGTATTATTTCTGCACTGCAGTTGGTTTAAGCATTTCCATATTGTTAGAGATCCAGCCTATTAATTGTTTAGAGGAAGCTCTTAGAAGGTGGGACTTACTGTGTGTGTTCTAGATGTAGGGTACCATTGTGGTTTTTGGAAGTTCACTACAGCATGTTTAAAATTGGGTGAATTAAATGAACATGGCCCAATCATGGGTCATTTTTTGTGATGGTACTGAGATGAAGCAAGGCTACCCTTAGATCTAGTCTGAAAGCTCTGCCAGAAATCAGTCTAGAGACAATTATCATAGTTATATCAAGGATCCTGTTCTTGGGAGTCTGTGACTCATGGGAAAATGAAGGTATAAATAACAAAGATAAAGAGTGCCGAGCCTGGACCAATGATGAGATTGGAGGGTGTCTGAATCAAAACTTTTGATTAAAGCCATCTGTAACTCTGAGGTCCATCATTTAAAAGTGGCCTTCTCTTTTTTTTTCCTTTATGGAAATGAGTGTAGAGCAGAAGTTCAGAATATTCAGGTGTCTTGATGACAGGTGTCCACACCTTCTGGGTATAGATTGATTTTCATAAGTAAATCAATGCGTGAATAAATGAAGAAATGTAAAGATGGGTAAATGTAAAAGAAGCTGGGCCTGGACCAGTTATGAGAGTATGTAATGAAACATGGATTATTGTTATATGTTTCTGTAGCACTAAATTCCAGTGAAATATATACATAAAGGCTGTTTGCCTTCTTTTGGAAGGAATATGTATACAGATGTATGTAAGATTCAGAATTATTGTTTGATGTAGGTGGTTGTTTGCTGGTTGGTTGTTTTTACTTAAAGAAGGGAAAAATTACATAAATAAATGCTTATTAAATAATTATTTAATTGAAAAAAGAATGAGCAAAGCTCATCTTCAGAATGTGCCTTATGAGAAGAGTTATTATTAATCCAACTCTGTTCACTGAGTTTTATTAAAAATAATAAAAGCATCTAGTTTTTAAACCTCTGTGTAGTGAAATAGACATATGGAGACAATAAATATTATTCAAGTTTCCTATCTAATGTTAGTTAATTCCTAGATATTGATGTATTCTTACATGTAAGTAGATGAAGTCCTAATCACAGTCAATAGTCTAAAAGGAGGCAAACATGGCTCAGTAAGAAGCAAGAATAACGACTAATCTTTATGTATACTACTAATCCTCTCTTCCTAGTTTAGGTATGAACATATAGACATGTACATGAAGATCATTTCTACTCTGGGTTGTTCATGGGTTTATCACTTCGTGTGTGCGTGTGTTTGTATATTTGAATATATGATCAAGTATTCCATGAATAATTCCATAAATGAATAAATAAAACAATGAACAATTGAATTAATATATGAGTAGGGTCAAGCATAGACCTTGGTGAGACTATGCCATAAATCACAGATTTTAAATTCAACCATTTCTACACAAATTGAGACCATTAAAAAAAGATTATCTAGGCTCTTACCTATGTGGGTAGGGGTCTATAGACAGATATGAGCAATAGTCATAGTTCTTATTTCTGAGTGATGAATTCAACAGTGTTCATTATATTATTTATAAGTAATAGTTAAATCAAGTAATAAAAAGGAGTGCTGTTCTCAGGTCAGTGATGAAAATGACACTTGAATCAACTTAATGATTAACCTAGTACCACGCAACTAATGTCCTTTTAAATCAATCTAATTCTGGACTGTTCATTCTTTTGAACATTGGCATTTGACTCCACAGGATGAAGACCATGGCTGCTTTAGTCAGTCTGTTTTGAGGAAGATCTTGACTGTTACATTTGTGGGTAAGGATTCTAATGACTAAACTAAAATAATAATAGTCAAAAGATCTTGTCAGAGTGAATTTTTCATTAGTGTTTGTTGAATTATTTAGATTAGGAAGATGCAAGAGAGCTGGAAGGGGAAGCATAGAAAGCAAGGATGATAATTGATCCATACATACCTCAATGAGGGCCACTACAAAAAGAGATCTCATCTATTGAGAAAGATCTAGTTTATGGGAAAAGAGCCTATACACAGATGTTGGTCATATTCAAGGGTCTTGTTCTTGGCTTTTTTTAAATTCATGGACATTGATGTTATTACTGTTGGTGGCTCAATGAATGGATCAATGAGCAAAGGTATAAATGAAGAAAGAGATTGCTTAGCCTGGATCGATGATGAGTACCCTGGGGTGTCTGAAGTCAAGGACTTTGATTAAACCCTATAACTCTGAGGTCCATTACAAAAAGATTCATTCCTCTTTATCTGTACAGGAAATGAACTTGTTCAAAGAGTTAAAAATATTCAAGAGTTTGTTCTTGTGCTTGGGTTTCTGAGCATTGTATTTTCAGTAAATCAGTGCATGAATAAATCAAGAAAGTATACATGAATAAGGAAAAAATAGTTTATCCCTGGTCCAAATATGGGAGAATGTCATGTAATATATGTGATGTAAAAATCATTATTAATACATTTCTGAAGCACTGAGTTCCAGTAAAATAAATTGATTAAAGCTGACCCTTTTGAGTAAAGAGCGTTTCGATAAATGGGTGTAAGAGCTCATGCTGTTTTCCTGGGTTGGGTTGTTGGTTTTTGTTTTATTAAGAGAAGGGCAAAACATTTACTTAATTATTGATTAAATAACTACATAATTGAGAGTGGGCTTATACTTGGACCTATGTTGAGAATGTCACATGACAAGTTATGATTAATTCAATGATCTTCTACTTTTTAATTAAAAAAAGAACAAGAAAAAATGATCTGATCTTTTTTCTGTGCCTAATGAGCATAGGCACAGGCATTAATATTGTTCTGTTTCTGTGGAGTCACAAGTATTAATGTTATTATAAATGTATCAAGGAATAAGTTAATATTTTACTCAGTTCCTTGAAAGAAGGTAGCGCATGGCCCAGTGAGGACCATGTGTTTTGAAACAAGGAGGGTGATTAATCCAGTTCTAACAGTTGCTCTCTGGATAAAAAATGTAGACCTAGGCTCTTAATGTTTGAAACGGTCAATATACTTAGAAAGGATTTCTCTTCCTGGCTTGTTGGTGCAATTACTTTAAAAAAATGGAAGATAAAATGACTCCATGTATAGCTATATACATTCATACATATATAAAGATGGGACAAGCATGGACAATTGCTGAGAAGGTGCTCGAATCTAAGACTCAGATTAACCGATTCTCTCCAAGAAAGGTTCATTTAGAAAGTTGTTGTAGCTCTTACCTGACCGGGTAGGGGACACACATAGTTCTTATTCTTTTGTCTGGTGTTGCTTTCAGAGGTGTTCATTATATTCGTTACATTTAATACTTGATTCAATCAATCAAGCAATATACCATGGAGAGTTTTAATATACAACAAGCACTTAAGGTTTATTCCTCATCATTTGTTGACTTGAAGTCAACTAGAAAAATCTGAATCTAGCCTTTCCTATCTATCTATCTATCTATCTATCTATCTACCTAATCTAATCTGTCTATTTTCTTATTTGCTTTGTACTCTACAGACTGGATGCACAATGATTCAATTAAGGACTATAGAAACTTACGTAAGTAGCAGTCAAAGTAATTGCTTCTGGTTTGGTGGTTTGTCATGGGTGTTAACTCTGTTATTGGAAGGGAATAAATGGCTACATGTACAAATTAAATGAATGGAGATCATGTGTGGGCCAATTCAGTACATCTGTGGTCAATTAAGGAGAAAAAAGACCATTTTATTTACTTTCACAGTTAATTATTCAATTAATTAATTAATGTACAATGTATTATCAATTTTAATTTGAGTCACAGTTGATTTAAACCTCCCTCTATAAAGACATGGTTTTGTCACATTCAAACAGTAAAATGGGGTCAATATAAAGTATTGTATTAATTAGTCTATATAGAAAACATTGTGGCCAATTAATGAAATATATATATATTGTCAGTGGGAAGTAATTCTATAGAGAAATGTTAGAGATATTCAAGGATCTTGTTTCAAGTTTTTATGACCTCCAGGCGTTTATTTTATTATTATTAGTGAATTGATGACTTAATCAATAAAAACATGCAGACATGATTGAAAGTAATGAGGGCCAATCCTGGACCAATGGTGATGCTGGTGGGGTGTGAGTCATGGATGATGAGTACTTGTCTGGAACTCTGAGGTCCAACCCAGTAAGAAATCTAGTCTATACCATACGTCCGTTAGAAATTATCCTGTGGACATATGTTAGTAATATTCAAGGATCTTGTTCTTAGTTTTTGTTATGGAATTTGATTCTGTTATTACAGGTGGATCAATGAAAGAATCAATCAGTAAGTACAGTTGACCCTTGAACAACGTGGTGTAACCCCATGCAGTCGAAAGTCCTTGTAAGGTTATCTCTGCTTCAGAAGCAAAGGAATTGATAAATGACTCACCCAAGGCCAGGAATCTTAAATAGTTTGGGTAGAATCAGGACTCAAACCCTGGTTCTTTTGATACCACATGTTGTGATCTCTAATCAAACACAAATTTTTCCCACACTTAGTTAATTGAAAGATCCCTAAAATGAAAATACAGGTACTATATTTATTGAAAAAAATCCATGTACAAATGGACCCATGCAGTTCAAACCCGTGTTGTTCAAGGGTCAACTGTGTACAAATAAATAAAGAGGGTGAAGCATTGTCCAATTATGATAATATGTCATGAAGTAAGAGAATCTGTTAATATATGTTAAAAACACTGATTCAATTAAGAAGGACATGGTTTTATGATAGTTCTTTGGCTAATGGTTCTATAGAAAGTACAAGTAATAATTATTATTCCTATTCTGGCTCAGTGGCAAGTTTGATGTTTTTTTGAGGGAAATATCAATAAATATTACCCCCAATTAATGAATACCTAAATTACTGATGTAATCAAAGGTGAAATACAAGGATTAATGAAGATAGTATCTCAGTTTTTTTTTTAATCTTCTCTGCTTTGTACTTCCTAGAGTGGGTGCGCCAAGCCACCTTAAACGTCTTGCATGATCGTGAGCTCGAAGTGTAAGAAACAGCCAAAGTTCTTGTCTTGTTTTTGGTGGTTTGTTTAGGACGTTAACTGTAATATTAAAAAATAGTTAAATATAATAAAAAAGGCCAAGCATGGCCCCCTAATAAATACGGAACTGACATGAAACATTATATTGATGAATCAATATTTGCAACCACGTAGGTGATTAGCGAAATGTAAATTCAAGGAGGCAAATGATTCTATAGAGACATGTTAGAGATTCTTTTTTCTTTGAGTTTTATTTAATTAATTAATTTTTTATACAGCAGGTTCTTATTAGTTGTCTATTTTATACATATTAGTGTATACATGTCAATCCCAATCTCCCAATTCATCCCCCCACCCCCCCTGCGCTTTCCCCCCTTGGTGTCCATATGTTTGTAGAGATTCTTGAAGGTTTTATTTTCAAGGTTTTTTTGACTCATAGATATTTATTTTACAATTGTTGCTTTATCGATAAGTTAATCGGTAAAGAAATGTAGAAGTGAATGAAGAAAAAGTGGGCTGAGCCTGGACCAATGATGACCACTGGTAGTGTATGAGTCAGGGATGATGAATACTATGTGTCAAGAACTCTGAGGTCCATCACAATAGGAGATCTCGTCTATTTCCTCTGTTGGAAATTGCCATACTCACAGATGTTAGTAATATACAAGGATTGTGTTCTTGGTTTTTGTGTTCAAGAACTTTGATTTTATTAGTATAAACAGATAAATGAAAGAATCAGTCAATATAAACAAATAAATATGAATAAGTGAAGCCCTGTAAATTATGAAAGTTAATCAATCCCTAAGAGGCTGAATAGCGGAAATGTGGAGAGCAAAGTCAATGCAGATAAGGTCTCAATTTTTTAAAATCACCTTCTGTGCTTTGTACTTCTCAGCATGGATACATTGGAGCTGATTTAAGGATTCATCTAAGGTCACAAGATGTCTGGTTGTCTCTGTGTTTGACACATAGAAACAAATGTGAGTTTTTATGGGTAAACACTCTATTTGAAAAGTATGAAATATAAGCAAAGAGTGCCAGACATGGTCCATTGATTAATAATGCGGCATTATATTGATTAATTCCTATATGAAACTTTGAGGGTGATTAATGAAAGAGGCATATCAGTGTAGTAAACGATTCTATAGACAGAAGTTAAACTATTCAAGGCCTATGTTCTAGGTTTTTTGTGCTTCATAGGTACCCATTTTATTCCTATTAGAGAATTTGTTGAATCAATTACTAAACAGAGGTAGATGAGAGTGGGGAAGAAAAGAGGCCAAGCCTGGAGCAGTGATGACCACTGGTGGCATATGCATCGTGGACGATGCATATGTGTCTGGAACTCTGAGGCCCAACATAAAAAAGAAATCTAGTTTATTGCCTCTGTTGGAAATGATCCTATAGACAGATTTAGGATTTATTTTATAAAGCTCATGCTCAGGGGTCATTGTGTTTATGGATTTTGATTCTATTATAATAAATGAATCAATAAAGAATCAATGTACAGATGTAAATAGATAAGATGAAGAGGGTGAAGCATCGTCCAATTATGAAGAAATTTAAGGCTAGAGATAATATCAATAAATATGGAAACACTAAGTCAGTTAAGAAATAAATGGTTCAAGGGTGTTTCCTCTAGCTAAGGATGTTATAGATAATATAAATAATGGCCAGTATTTACTCTGGGTTAGTAGAAAGTTCAATGTGGTTTGTTTTCTTAGGAAAAAGTTATATATTACCCAATTCATATGTAACATAATCACTGAAAATTAAATGTAGATACAAAGATCAGTAGAGGAAACATCTCAATCATGTTATCATCTACTCTGCATTCTGTGCTTTAGAATGGACACGCTTTAGCTGATTTAAACATATGTCTTGGTCAACAGTCTCTGAATTTGCCTGTACATGGAAACCAACGTGAGTAATAGTCAGTGGTCTCATCTTACTGTGGGTAGTTTGTTTAGGGTATTCTTTGAAATATTAAAAAAATATTCACTATGAGAAAAAATACTAACCATGGTCCAGTCGTTAAATTGGAAATGTATGAATCATTCTGTTGATTAATCTATCATTAGAATAATGAGGGTGATTAATGAAAGAAGTGTACTCAATTAGACAGTGGTTCTAAAGAAAATTATAAAGATACTGAAGCCTCTTGTCCTTGAGCTTTTGTGACTCATAGATATTTATTTAATTACCATCAGTAAATTGATAAATTAATCACTAAACAGAAGTAGATGGGAGGAAGAAAAAGAGTCGCAAAACTGGACCAACGATGACATCTGGTGGCGTAGGAGTCATATACGATGAATACCACGTGTCTGGAAGTCTGAGGTCCAACACAAAACAAAATCTAGTCTGTTTCCTCCCTTGCAAATCACCCCTATAAACAAGGGTATTGTTCTTCTAATTTTGGATCCATGAATTCCTATGTTATTAATATAAATAGATCAATGATAGAACCAATAAACAAAGTATCACTAAATAAAAACAAGAATGAAGGCTTATCAACCCTGAGTATATGTGGTGAGGCAAGAAGTACTATTAATATAAATTGAAGAAACTGACGCATGTTAATAAATGGATGGACCAAGGGTGTTAGCTCTTTTTCTAAGGATCATGTCATTATATTCATATTTATGCTTATATATGTGTATAAATCATGGAAAATAATAAATACCTTTGTGACTGAGTAAATGAGATGAGGAAAACAAGGACCAATTTAGAGAAGGTCTCAATTTTTTTCTATCATCTGCTCTGCTCTGTACTCCTCAGGATGGACGCACGCTGGTGGATTTAAGCATCTTTCATGGTCACGTGCTCTATAGACCAATGTGAGTAATGCAGTAAGCAAATTCACGTCTTTGAGAGCTTCTTTTTTTCCTCAGATAGTCACTGTATTGTTAGAAGTGTGGAATAGAATTAATATTAGTAATAATGAGTTAATCAATGAACTTACGCAGATGAGAATGAAGAAATAGAGGCCCACGTATGGACCAATGATGACGACTGATATCATATGAGTCATGGGTGATGAATACTACGTGTCTGAAACTCAGGTTCAGTAAAAAAAAGAAATATAATCTGTTGCCTCTATTTGGTATTACACCATAGACAAATATTAGGAAAATAAAAGAGCAATTTTCTTGTTTTGTGTTCATGAATTTTGATTTTACTTTAAAAAAATAGCCCAAAGAAATAAGTGTAAGTATAAACAAGCTAAGATGAAGAGGTTGAAGCATATTCACTCTTAATATATGTGGTAAGGCAATAAAAGCTATTAATATTGACTGAAAATACTGAAGTTCATTTGGAAATGTAAATGGTGCAAATGTCTTACCTCTTTGGCTAAGAATGATACAGAAAATAAATAACAAAGTTCTTATTCTATGGTAGTACCAGGTTTGACACTGTTCTTTTTTCTAAGAGAAAAATGAGAAATATGACCTGAGTTTATTATATTCCTAAATGACTGACTAGGTGAAGGTGGAACGTGTGGATCAATAATGAGTATCTCAATGTTGTTATTATCTCTCCTGCTTTTTACGCCTCAGAATGGATACACTGGAACCTATTTACGTATTTGGCCATGATCAGGACCTCCATGGATGCTCCTGTGTGTAAGAGCATGAAGACCAATGTGAACAACAGATTCCTCTCATGGTTTAGGTGGTTTGTATAGGATACTCAGTGTAATACTAAAAATTATTAAATATATTCAAAGATGGCCAAACATGGCTTAATGATTACCATGGAATTGACATGAAACTTTGTGTTGATTAATCGATCTTTGCCACAATGAGGATGATTATCGAAATAAGTACGTTCCATGAGGCAAAAGATTCTGTAGGCACAGGTTAGTATTTAAGATCTTGTCCTTGAGTTTTTTGACTCACAGATATTTATTTTATTATTATTAATGAATTAATAAAGTGATCAGTAAACAAATGTCGATGAGAATAAAGAAAAAGAGTCTAAGCTTGGACCATTGATGATGACTGATAGCATATGAGTCGTATATGATGAATACTGTGTGTCTGAAACTCTGAGGTCCAGCAAAAGAAGTCTAGTCCATTTCCTCCGTTGGAAGTGTTCCTATAGACAGATGTCAGGAATATATAGGGACCTTGTTTTATTCTTTGTGGTTCACGAGTTTTTAAAAATATTATTATAAATTGTTACTGGCCGAATAAACAAGCATATAAGTGACTAAAGATGAAGAGGGTTAAGTACTGTTCATTACTTAGATACATAGTAAAGAGAAATAATATTAATATAAGTTAGAATGGATAATTAACAGATCAAGTATATTATGCATTTTTGAGTAAGGATGATATAGACAGGGATACGTAATAGTCAATTATTGATCTGAGTCTATTGCAAGCTTGATGTTTGTTTCATTAAGGAAAAAACAAATAAATATTACCATAAATTAATAAATACCTAAATGACTACGTATATGAATGGTGGAAAGTAGGGATCAATGGAGAGAATATCAAACATTTTATCACCTGCTCTGCTTGGTACTATTCAGAATTGATGCCCCAGCTGATTTCAGCTTCTGCTGTGATCAAGATTGTCCTATTGCCTCTGTATTAGAAAGAGACAAAGGTGAGTAATGGTCAAGTTTGTCACCTTAGATTGGGTCATTTGTTTAAAGGTATTCATTGAATTATTAAAAGTATTAAACATAATAAAAAAGTTAACTATGGCCCAATGATAAATATGAAATGAAACATTATGTTGAGTCATCAGTATTGTGCACCACTGAGGTTGGTTAATAAAGAGAATCAGTCCATGTGTGAAATAGTTCTATAGACAGATGTTGGGAATATTCAAGGATCCTATTCTTGGATTTTGTGGATTATGTGTTTATTTTATTGTTATTAATAAATTAATGATTTACTTGCTAAATGAATGAGGAAAAAGACAGCCGAACCTGAACCAATGAAGACAGCTGGCGGTGTATGTGTTGTGGATGATGAATAATACATGTCTGGAACTTTGAGGTCCAACACAAAACATAATTCGTCAAATACCTGTGTTGGAAATGATCTTGTAGGCAGATATTAGAAATATACAGAGATCATGTTCTTACCCTGGATTCATTGATTAAATTTATTATTGTTAATGAATGGATGAATGATATTACTGTTGAAGAAGTATCAATAAATAAGGGACCATTAAAGAAATAATAAATAAACAGATAAAAAGAGAGTGAAGCATTGTTCAACTGTGAGCATTTGTGGTGAGGCAAGAATTACTATTAATAAAAATTGAAAATATTGATGCCTCTTTAGAAATAAAGGTATCAAGAGTGGCTGAGGATCATATAGATTCATAATTAGTGTCAATTTTATTTTCTAGGTCAGTCTCAAATTTAAGGTTGTTCCTTTTGTTAAGAGGTAAAATCTAAATTATGAAAAATTAATAACTACCTAAAGGATTGAACGAATATATTGTGAAAAGGAAAAATCCATTCAGACAAGGTCTCATTTTCATAAATTTATTTTATTTATTTATTTTTTGCTGCGTCGGGTCTTCGTTGCTGCGCGCCAGCTTTCTCTAGTTGCGGCGAGTGGGGGCTACTCTTCGTTGTGGTGCGCAGGCTTCTCATTGCGGTGGCTTCTCTTGTTGTGGAGCACGGGCTCTAGGTGCACGGGCTTTAGTAGTTGTGGTACATGGGTTCAGTAGTTGCGGCTTGTGGGCTCTAGAGCGCAGGCTCAGTAGTTGTGGCACATGGGCTTAGTTGCTCCGTGGCACGTGGGGTCTTTCCGGACTAGGGCTCAAACCCGTGTCCCCTGCATCGGCAGGAGGATTCTTAACCACTGCGCCACCAGGGAAGCCCAGTCTCATTTTTAAAACATCATCTACTCTGCTTTATATTCCTCAGAATGGACCAGTCGAGCTGATTGGAAAATTCTCTCGTGGTCACGTTCTCTGGTTGTCTCCACGTCTTTGGTGTGTAGAGACCAATGTGAGTAATAACGTTCATGTCTTCATTCGAAACGTTTTTTAAAAAAGTGTACTTATTGGCCATCCATGGCCAGTGATAAATATGGGATTATTCCCAATAGTATTTATTAATCAATTTATGGTATTGTAAGAGTAATTAATGAAAGAGCGATATCAGTGTGATAAATGATTCTATGGACAGAAGTAAAATAGTCAAGGTTCTTATTCTTAAATTTATCTTATTTATTTATTTATGGCTGTGTTGGGTCTTCGTTTCTGCGCGAGGGCTTTCTCTAGTTGTGGCAAGCGGGGGCCACTCTTCATCGCGGTGCACGGGCCTTTCGCTATCGTGGCCTCTGTTGTTGCGGAGCACAGGCTCCAGACGCGCAGGCTCAGTAATTGTGGCTCACAGGCCCACTTGCTCCGCGGCCTGTGGGATCTTCCCAGACCAGGGCTAGAACCCGTGTCCCCTGCATTGGCAGGTAGATTCTCAACCACTGCGCCACCAGGGAAGCCCCAAGGTTCTTATTCTTTGTTTTTATGTGAATCATGGGGTTTTAAAGATTAATATCAGTGGATAAGAAATTAATTAATGAGCTAATGTACAGGAGGATGAGCAAAAAGAGGCTGACATGTGGATCGATGATGACCGCTGGTGGAGTATGAGTCATGGATGATGACTACTTCATTCTGGAATCTGAGGTCCAATCAGAAAGAAATAGTCTGTTACCTCTGCTTGAAATCCTATAGACTGATTTTAGGAATCTAAAGGGACTATTTTCTTAGACTATTTTTGTGAATTTTGATTCTTTTATTGTAAATGGATCAATTAAAGAATCAGTGTACAAATATAAAACAGCGAGGACGCTGAGCATGAAGCATATGCACTCTTGAGATATGGGGTAAGGCAATGGAAACTGTTAAAATGTGCTGAGAATACTGAATGCCATTACGAAAAATAAGTGGTTCGAGTGCCTTACCTCTTTGGCTCGTGCTAATAGAGACGTTCTTATTCTGAGTCCATAGCAAGTCTGATCTTATTCATTTTTTAAAGAGGAAATTTGTTAAGCATTATCCCAGATTAACATATTACTAAATGATTGACTAAATGTAAGGTGGAGTGCGCAGAACAATGGAGATAATGTCTTGATCTTGTTATATCTGTTTTGCTCTGTACTTCTCAGAAAGAGGACCCTGAACGCAGGAGCTCATGGGAGCATCTCTGTGTAGGAGCATTAAGTCCAGTGTGAGTAATAATCAAAGTTCTTGTCCTGGTTTGGGTGATTTGTTCAGGGTATCCCTGTAATAATTAAAAATGTATTAAATATAAGAAAAAAGACCAACTATGGTCCAGCGATTAAATTGAAACATTATGTTGATTAATGTTTTTACAACAATGATGATTAATGGAAGAGGTATATTCAATTAGGCAACGATTCTAAAGATAAATGACAGGGCTACTGAAGGCTCTTGTCCTTGCATTTTTGTAATTCACATATATTTACTTAATTTTTATTAGTAGGTTGATGAATTAATGTATAAACAACTGTAGAGGAGAATGAGGAAAAAGGGGCCCAACCCCAGATCAGTGATGATGTCTGATGACCTAGGAGTCTTAATACGATGAATGCCACATGTCTGGAAGTCTGAGGTCCAACACAAAACAAAATCTAATCTGTTTCCTCTCTCACAAATGATCCTGTGGATCGATGTTAAGAGTTTACAAGGATACTGTTCTTGTAATTTTGGATTCATGGATTTATATATTATTAATATAAATCGATCAATGATAGAGCCAATAAACAAAATACAAATAAATAAAAACGAGGATGATGCTTTGCCCACCTATGAATATACACGAGAGGCAAGAAATACTATTAATATAAACTGAGGAAACTGTTGCATGTTAAGAAATAAATGGACCAGCGGTGTTACCTCTCTTCCTAAGGATCATACAGACACTGACCTTGATAAGTAATACCTAGTATTATAGGCCTGGGTCTGTCTCAGTAGAGGATGTCAATCTTGTTTCATATGTATATATGTCATATGTACATATATTCGGAAAAATTAATAAATACCTTTGTAAATGAAAGAATGAAATGATGTAAACAAAGACTGATGTGGATCTTCTTTTGAAAGGTCTAGATTTTTAATCACCCGCCTCATCTTGTACTCCCCAGAATCGACACACTCAAGCTGATTCAAGCATTTTCTATGGTTTCCTCTGTGTGTTAAGAGCCTAGAGATGAATGTGAGTAAAGGTTAAGTTCTTGTGTTTAAGAAGTTTTTTTTTAAGGGTATTCACTGCACTGTTAAAAGTGTGAAATATAATCCAAAACACCAGTCATAGAAAATGTCCACGAGAATGAAGAAACAGAGGCTCAGGCGTGGACCAGTGATGACCGTTGGTGGAGTATGAGCCATGGACGATGACTACTTTGTGTCTGAAACTCTGAGGTCCAATCAAAAAGGAAATATAATCTGTTGCCTCTGTTTGAAGTGATCTTATGGAAAGATGTTAGGGTCGTTTTTCTAAGGATCATATTATATTTATATTTATGCTTATATATGTGTATAAATTATGGAAAATAATAAATACTTTCATGTCTGAGTAAATAAAATGAAGAAAACCAGGACCAATTCAGAGAACGTCTCAAATTTTTTTTTTCTGCTCTGCCCTGTACTCCTCAGGATGGACGCATGCTGGTGGGTTTAAGCATCTTGCACGGTCCTGTGCTCTATAGACCAATGTGAGTAATGCAGTAATTAAATTCATGTCTTCGAGAGTTTTTTTTTCTCAAGTATTCACTATATTGTAAAAGTGTGAAGTATAATATCAGTCACTTAATGAATTAATCAATGAACTATGCCAATGAGAATGAAGAAATAGAGGCCCATATATGGACCAGTGATGATGACTGATATCGTATGAGTCATGGATGATGAATACTACGTGTCTGAAACTCTGAGGTCCAGTAAAGAAAGAAGTATAATTTGTCACCTCTATTTGGCATGCTATTACCGACAAGTATTAGGAAAATAAAAGAACACATTTTTTGGTTTGTGTTTATGAGTCTTTGATTTTATTGATACTATAAAAATTAGCCCAAAGAAATAATCAATGTACAAGTCTAAATAAGTTAATGAAGAGGCTGAAGCATATTCACTCTTAATATATGTGGTGAGTCAATAAAAACTATTAACATTGATTGAAAATACTGAGGTGCATTAGGAAATGTAAGTGGCTCAAATGTCTGACCTCTTTGGTTGAGAATGATACAGACAGTAAATAACCATCAAAGTTCTTATTGTTGGTCTGTGTCAAGCTTGATGCTGTTTTGTTTGTTAAGAATAAATTAATAAACATGACCCCAATGTACTGTTTTCTAAGTAAGTGACCACGTGAAAGTTGAAATGTACGTATCAGTGGAGTGTCTGTCGATCTTCTTATCATCTTCTCTGCTTTGTATTCCTCAGAATGGATGCACCTGAATTGGTTAAGCATTGACCATGATCAGGAACTCTGCTGGTTGTCCTGTGTATAAGTACGTGTGGTCCATGTAAGTAATTGTCAAATTCTTCTCTTGGTTTGGGTGTTCGTTTATTCGCTGTGATAATAAATAAATGTGTTCAAAGAAGGCTAGTCATGGTCTATGGATAAATATAGAATTGACATGAGACGTTACGTTGCTTAATAGGTATTTGCCTCAATGAAGGTGATTGATGAAAGAAGAATATTCAATGAGGCAAATGATTCTATAGATAGATATTAAGGATATTAAGGATCTAGTAGTCCTTGAGTATTTGTGATTCACAGATATTTATTTTATTATTATTGATGACTTGATCAGTAAATATAGATCAGAATGAAGAAAGAGTCCAATCGTGGACCAATGATGACGGCTAGTGACGTATGAGTTGTATACGATGAGTACTTGTGTGTCTGAAACTCTGAGGTCCAGCACAAAGAAATCCAGCCCATTCCTCCTGTTTAAAGTGATTCTATAGACAGATGTCAGGAATATACAAAGATATTGTTCTTGATGTTTGTGTCTGTGAATTTTACAAAACCTTATTCTAAAAGAATAAATGGCAGAATAAATAAACAAATGTGAAAGTAAAAATGAAGAGGCTGAAGTATTGTTCATCTTTAAAGTGTATAGTAAAGAAAATAATACTAATATAAATTGAAATCAATATTAAATGGATCAAGTGTATTACATCTTTGACCAAGGATGGTATAGACAGTGATATGTACCGTTTTTGATCTGAGTGAGTTACAACTTTAATGCTGAATTTGTTAAGAGGAAAATAAATAAATATTACCATTAATCAATAAATACCTAAATGACTATGTATCTGGATGGCGGAGACAATGAATCAATGGAGACAATGTCTCCATCTTTTTATTTTCTTCTCTGCTTGGTACTATTCAGAATGGACCTTCCAAGCTGATTAAGATCGTCACGTTGCTCCCGTGTCAGGAAAGAGACAAAGGTGAGTAACGGTCAAAGGTCAAAGTTCTTGTCTTGGTTTGGGTTATTTGTTTAAAGGTTTCACAGTATTATTTAAAAAAATAATAAATATAATTAAAATGAACTATGTCCAAATTTAAAAATCATATGAAATATTATGTTATTTAATCAACATTGAAATTCACTGATCAAAGAGATAAAGTCTACATGGGATATGGCTCTATATACTATGCTTGGGATATGCAAATATCTTGCTCTTGGGTTTTGGAATCATGTATTCATTATATTATTATCAGTGAATTAATTTGATTTATTTAATACAGATGCAGAAATGAATGAGGAAAAAGAGAAACATCTACCGGTGATGACAACTGGTGGCATATGAGTTATAAACGATGAATACTACGTGCCTGGAACTCCGGGGTCCAACACAAAACATAATTAGTTGAATCTCTCTTTTGGAAATGATCCAGTAGACCAGCGATCCCCAACATTTTTGGCGCCAGGGACCGGTTTCGTGGAAGACGATTTTTCCACGGATGGCACGGAGGGAGATGGTTCACGCGGCAATGCGAGCGATGGAGAGCAGCGATGGGGAGCGGCAGACGAAGCTTCGCTCGCTCGCCCGCTGCTCACTTCCTGCTGTGCAGCCCGGTTCCTAACAGGCCTTGGACCAGCACCGGTCCACAGTCTGGGGGTTGGAGACCCCTGCAGTAGACAGATGTCAGAAATATACAAATACTGTGTTCTTATTTTGAGTTCATAGATTTAGATTTATTATTACTAATGGATTGACGGTGGAATAAAATAGAAGTAAATAGATAAAGAAGAATGTTAAGCATTGTCCAACTATGAACATATGTGGTGAGGCTAGAAATATTACTCATAAGAATGGAAGAAGACACTGCTGCCTCCTAAGAAATAAACGAATCAAGGATGTTACCCTCTGTGGCTAAGAATCACGTAGGCTGATGAATAAGAGTCAGTTTTATTTACTGGATCAGTTTCAAGTTTGAGAGAGTTTCCTTTGTTAAGAGAAAAAAAATCTATATCATGAAAAATATATAAATACCTAAATGACGGAGTAACTGGACGGTGGAAAGCAGGGATCAATGGAAGTAAGGTCTCAATTATCTTTCTCATCTGCTCTGCTCTGTAGGCCTCAGAATGGACACACCTGAGCTGATTTAAGCATCTTCCATGGGTACCAGGTCTACGGTTGCACCCGTGTGTCAGGAGCATACAGACCAATGTGAGTAACAGTCAAAGTTCTTGTCTTATTTTAGTGTTTTTAAAAAAAGCATATTCACTGTATCATTATGAAGTATTAATGTGAAGTATAATTGCATAAGGCTAACTATAGCCCAGTGACAAATGTGGAATTGATTATATAAATATGGGGTTGATTATATTGATTAATGCATATGGGAAAATCAGAATAATAAATGAGAGAGATATGTTGATGTGAGAATTATCCTGTATACAGTTTAGGGCTATCAAGGCTCTTCTTGGGCTTCTGTGAATGATAGGGTTTAAAAATTATTATTAGTGAATTAATGAATTAATCAATGGACAATGTACAAACGATTGAAGAAAAGGAGGGACAATACTGGATCGATGATGACTATTGGTGTAGTCATGTATGTCGTGTATGATGAATCTGTGTCTGGAACTCTGAGGTCCGATGCAAATGGAAACTAGTCCATTGCCCTGTGTGAAGTGATCCTATAGACAGATGCCATGAATATACAAGAATCTCACTTTTGGTTTACGTTCATGCATTCTCTATTTTTATAGTCAGATCAATGAAATAATCGATAAATACATACATAAATAAAGATGGAGGTCATTAAGCACTGTCCAATTATAAAAATATGTAGCAAGACAAGAAATACTATTAACATATTTTGAAAATACTTCTATTTATTAGGAAACAAATCCTACAAGGTGTTACCTCTGGCTAAGAATTTTATAGGCAGTGTGAAGTCGTTAATAGGCAATGTCCATATTCTGTGTCAGTGGCAAGATCGTTATTGTTTGTTTACTTAGGAGACATTAAGTAAACATTTTCCCAAGTTGCTGATTTCCTAAATAACTCACTAAATGAAAGGTGAAATACAAGGACCAATGTTGATTAGGTCTCAGCCTTTTAAAATCATCTCGTCTGCTCTGTACTACTCAGAATGGACCCCCTCAAGCTGGCTAATGATTCTTCCATGATCACAAGTTCTATGGTTTAGAGCATGGTGACCAATGTGAGTAATAGTCAAAGTTATTGCCTCGGTTTGGGTTGTTTGTTTAAGGGTATTCATTGTATTATTTAAAAATGTGAAATATAATCAGTGAATGCCAACCATGGCCCCCAAATGCAATTACTATGAAGCATTATGTTTATTCATCCAAGTCAAAACGTTGAGGTCAATTAATGGAAGAGATGGTTTGCCGAGGGAAATAATTCTACAGACAGATGTTAGGGATTAGTCCATGCTGACCTTGGACTAACAATAAGTAAAGTTAGACGTGAAAATGAAGCAAATATGATGACTAATCCATACATTCAACACAAGGCCGATTAACAAAAGAGATCTGGACTTTTCACTCTGTAAAAAATGATTCTACATACAGATGTTAGGGCTATTAAAACTACTTTAAAAATTTATGAGTATATGTTTCTCATTATGAATTAACGATTTATCTCTAAACAAAATTATAATTGAATGAAAAAAAGAGGATGGAGTCTGAAGTAATATTGAGGACTGGTGGCATGTGAGTCAAGGATGAGCAATGCTTACCTAGAACGCCGAAGTCCAAAGCAAAAAGAAATCTAGTCCATTCTTCTGATATAAATGAGCCTATAAAGACTTGTTAAGGATATCCAAGGATCTTATTTTTAGGCTTTTGAGTTTCATAAATATTGATTGCTTATTAAAAGTTAATCAATACAATGATATCTAAACAAATGTATGAATAAATGAAGGAAAAATAGGGCCAAATCTGGAATAACTATAGAGTATGTGATAATAATTACCAATCTATTTCTAAGGAACCGAAGTCTATTAAAAATATGTAGAGGCTTTTATATCATGAGACCCAGAGAAAGATGTGTGTAATTGTTGATGTTTATGTTCTGGGTTATCTTTGGGTTGCAGGCATTTTTTTTTTTTAATTAAGAAATGGGAAAAAAAGTTTATATAATTGAACCCCCTTACTACATTAAAGAGGGCTTAACACGAACCAGTGACAAAAATGTGTCATATGACAAGTCATGATCAAGCCCTTGGCTTCAGTGTTCCATTGGTAATCATTCCACATTGTATATGTAAATCAAATCTTCATGTTGTACATTTTAAATATATGCAAACTACGTTTGTCAATTCCTCCTAAATAAAGTTGGGAATAAAAAGTATATAGTCCCTTGATGCTTAATGATAATGAGGGGCTGGATGCAGTTACTATTAAAGAGTGTTATTGAATTGAGTTTGTATACAAGGATACTGATCTTAGTATTATAAATTAATAAATAAGTTAATACCTGAATAAGATCAGAGGGGACAAAGCACCTGGCCAGTGATGAATATGTGATGAAGCATGATTCATCCGTTTTACTCCTGTTGTGTCCCTCTTGAGAAAAACGAATCTTAGCTCTGGCCAGTTTGAATAAGGGGGATTAGACAGATATACACAATAGGCATTTGTCTCTTGGTTTCTGGGAAGTTAAACGTTTTGCATTTTCTTTACGACACGAATAGTTTGTCAGATTCTTTCATGCATTAAAGAATGGATGAATGAAAATTAAAGCTATTAATAAATAGCTACCGACAAATAAATTCAAAGGAGACCAAATATGGATATATGCTGAAGATATGCAATGTGGCAAGTTTTATGAAGTCATCGAATTCAGTACAATTTTTTAAAAGTCTGAGGGTTTTACATTCACTTTCACAGCTACTTATTCCATATTAGGTTTGCACCACAGTTTATAAACATTCCTCTGTGGAAAAGATCTAAGCTGTGAATTGAGTGAAGCAACCCACAGGAAAATGTCAGATATTTACGGTGTTTGGATGTGGAGTGGTTGGTGGGCCCATGGTGGTTCTTTCTTCCATCTTTAAAGAATGCAGAAGTTAAATGAAAACGAGTCAAGCACGGATCCATGATGTGAATGGAATGCAGTCTGAATGTGTCTTGTGATTAATTCGTTTCTGCCTCACTGAAGTTCATTTCAAAAGGAGATTTGAGATATCTGTGGGAATAAGTGTATAGCTAGATTTCAGTAATTTTCAAGCAACTAATTCCGGGGTTTAAATGGATCATGGGGACTTTTACTACATTATTCTAAGGGAATAAATTAAAGAATCAAAAGACGGATAGATAGGTGATAGGTAGATAGATAAAGAGAGTAAAGCTGGGTTAATCAAGAAGAAATGTTGTGAGAGAAATTTTTGTTCATATAATTCTGAAGCACAGCAGCGCATTAAGAAACCAGTAGATCAAGGGTTTTACCTCTCTGGGATAGGTTAATATAGAGCAGTGTTCTTGAGTGAGAATCAGAATCACCCGAAGGGCTTGTTAAACTACAGATTGCTGACCCTACTCTCAGCATTTCGGATTCTGTAAAATTAGTGTCGGATCCGCTAAGCTGCATTCCTAACACGTTCCCAAGTTCTGCTAATACTGCCTACCAGGAAACAACGTTTCCAGAATCACCGATAAAGTCAAATACATGTCATAATAGTTAGTGCTGTTGCTGTGTGTCAGTGATGAGTTCCAGGTTGCTCATTTTTAAAGAAATAACAAATACATTAATTAATAAACATCTAAAAGTCTAAGTAAACGAAAGGAGGAAAGCATGGTCCAATGGAGAAAATGTCTCGTTCTTTTAACATCATCTTTGTACTCTACAAAATGGGTGCCCCTGAACTGATTTAAGCATTCTGAAAAGACCAAGATCTGTAGGCTGCCAGTATGTTTAGGAATGTATATTTAAAATGAGTACGCGGCTACATACAGGAACAAAATCAAACAAGGTTAGGCTTGTACTAAGGATGGGGAACCAAAGTTTATGATTAATTTGATCACTTAGGATGATTTTAAAAACAGGTTGAGTCCATGTCCTTCATTTTATAGCTCTTTAAATTTGTTTTAGGTTTTCCCTACACATTCCTTAATTGATAACGATGTAAGCTATTTTCATTATGAGGACGGAGCACATAGGATACGTAAGTACTAGTCAGTATTGTAGTGCTGATGGTGGGTTCACGCTATATATAGAAACAGTATACAAATTATATGAAGAAAAGGCCAACCATGGACCGATTCTGAACTATATTTTATGATGAAAACATCTACGAACTACTGAGGTCCATTACAAAAAAATATTAAGTGTTTACATTTGTGGGAATGAGCCCATGGATAGATTTCAGTAATATTCAAGGATCGCATTCTCAGTCTTTGGTGCTTCATGGATTTTGATTTTATTAAGTGAATAAATGAAAGAATAAACAGATATGTCAGTGTATAAAGATGAAAAGGGTGAAGCATATCAAATTATGAAAATATGTCGTGAGGTATGAATTACTATTAATATAACTTAGAACCATGAGAGTTCATTAAGTGATAAATGGATCAAGCAGGTTACACTTTGGGGTAAGGATGATATGGATAATTATATGTATTAGTCTGTCTTCTGGCTTTGAGTCAGTCATGAGTTTGAGTAGTTTGTTTACTTTAGATAAAAAGAAGTATATCACACTATAAATAATACTTAAATATTAAGAAAATGAAATGAGAAAACCATGTATTAATGGGAAGAATGTCTCAATATTTTATTATCTGCATTGCTTATACTCAGAATGAATGAACTGAACTGATGTAAGCCTTTTGCCCTGGCTGTGAATTCTGTATTAGGAGCAAAGAGACCAATGTGAGTAATAGTCAAAGCCCTTATCTTGGTGTGGGGGGCTTGTTTAAGAATATTCACTGTTTTGTTAAAAACGTGTATTGAGTATAATCTAAGAAGTTAGCCATGGCCCACTATGGGTTTCATATGTCACATACGTCCTTAATGAATAGGTGCAAACTAAGATTGATTAATGAAAGATATAGTTGCTGAGGGAAATTATTCTATGTACAGGTGTTAGGGATACTTGAAACTCTTGTTCTTGAGTTTTTGTGCTTCACGTAAATTTATTTTATTATTATTAGGCAATTAAAAATTAAAAATCAATGAGTGTGCAAATGAACGAGGAGAAAGAGGGCAAATCCTGGACTGATAAGGGACCGCTGGTGGGGTATGAATCATGGGTGATGGATGATATGTATCTGGCTCTGAGGTACTGTACAGAAAGAGATCTAGTCTATGGTCTCTGTTGGAAGTGATCCTCAAGATAGACTAGGAATGCACTGAAGTCTGTTCTTGGACTTTTGTGGTTCATGAATTTTGATGGTATTATTGTTACAAGAGATCAATAATAAAATCTATACAATTACGTAAATAAAGATGAAAGGGTGAAGTACTGTCCAGTTATATGAGACAAGAAATACTATTGATTTAATTTGTAAATATGAGTATCCATTAAGATATAGTTGGATCAACACTATATAAAAGTTAGTTATTAAATTCTGGAAAGTATTTTATTTAATTTTATATATTTATTTATTTACATCTTTATTGGAGTATAATTGCTTTACAATGGCGTGTTAGTTTCTGCTTTATAACAAAGTGAATCAGTTATACATATATCCCCATAACTCTTCCCTCTTGCATCTCCCTCCCTCCCACCCTCTAGGTGGTCACAAAGGACCGAGCTGATCTCCCTGTGCTATGCGGCTGCTTCCCACTAGCTATCTATTTTACATTTGGTAGTGTATATATGTCCATGCCTCTCTCTCACTTTGTCACAGCTTACCATTCCCCCCCAACTCCGTATCCTCAAGTCCATTCTCTAGAAGGTCTGCGCCTTTATTCCCGTCTTGTCCCTAGGTTCTTCATGACCATTTTGTTGTTTGTTTTTTAGATTCCATATATATGTGTTAGCGTATGGTATTTGTTTTTCTCTTTCTGACTGACTTCACTCTGTATGACAGACTCTAGGTCCATCCACCTCACTACAAATAACTCAATTTCGTTTCTTTTGATGGCTGAGTAATATTCCATTGTATATATGTGCCGCATCTTCTTTATCCATTCATCTGTTGATGGACACTTAGGTTGCTTCCATGTCCTGGCTATTGTAAATAGAGCTCCAATGAACATTGTGGTACATGACTCTTTTTGAATTATGGTTTTCTCAGGGTATATGCCCAGTAGTGCGATTGCTGGGTCGTATGGTAGTTCTATTTTTAGTTTTTTAAGGAACCTCCATACTGTTCTCCATAGTGGCTGTATCAATTTACATTCCCACCAACAGTGCAAGAGTGTTCCCTTTTCTCCACACCCTCTCCAGCATTTATTGTTTGTAGAATTTTTGATGATGGCCGTTCTGACTGGTGTGAGATGATATCTCATTGTAGTTTTGATTTGTATTGCTCTAATGATTAATGATGTTGAGCATTCTTTCATGTGTTTGTTGGCAATCTGTATATCTTCTTTGGAGAAATGTCTATTTAGGTCTTCTGCCCATTTTTGGATTGGGTTGTTTGTTTTTTTGTTATTGAGCTGCATGAGCTGCTTGTAAATTTTGGAGATTAATCCTTTGTCAGTTGCTTCATTTGCAAATATTTTCTCCCATTCTGAGGGTTGTCTTTTGGTCTTGTTTATGGTTTCCTTTGCTGTGCAAAAGCTTTTCAGTTTCATGAGGTCCCATTTGTTTATTTTTGTTTTTATTTCCATTCCTCTAGGAGATGGGTCAAAAAGGATCTTGCTGTGATTTATGTCATAGAATGTTCTGCCTATGTTTCGCTCTAAGAGTTTGATAGTTTCTAGCCTTACATTTAGGTCTTTAATCCATTTTGAGTTAATTTTTGTGTATGGTGTTAGGGAATGTTCCAATTTCATTCTTTTACCTGTAGTTGTCCAGTTTTCCCAGCACCACTTATTGAAGAAGCTGTCTTTTCTCCATTGTATATTCTTGCCTCCTTTATCAAAGATAAGGTGACCATGTGTGCGTGGGTTTATCTCTGGGCTTTCTATCCTGTTCCATTGATCTGTATTTCTGTTTTTGTGCCAGTACCATACTGTCTTGATTACTGTAGCTTTGTAGTATAGTCTGAAGTCAGGAAGCCTGAGTACTCCAGCTCCGTTTTTCTTTCTCAAGATTGCTTTGGCTATTCGGGGTCTTTTGTGTTTCCATACAAATTGTGAGATTTTTTGTTCTAGTTCTGTGAAAAATGCCAGTGGTAGTTTGATAGGGATTGCATTGAATCTGTAGATTGCTTTGGGTAGTAGAGTCATTTTCACAATGTTGATTCTTCCAATCCAAGAACATGGTATATCTCTCCATCTCTTTGTATCATATTTAACTTCTTTCATCACTGTCTTATAATTTTCTGCATACAGGTCTTTTGTCTCCTTAGGTAGGCTTATTCCTAGGTATTTTATTCTTTTTGTTGCAATGGTAAATGGGAGTGTTTTCTTAATTTCACTTTCAGATTTTTCATCATTAGTGTATAGGAATGCAAGAGATTTCTGTGCATTAATTTTGTATCCTGCTGCTTTACCAAATTCATTGATTAGCTCTAGTAGTTTTCTGGTAGCATCTTTAGGATTCTCTATGTATAGTATCATGTCATCTGCAAACAGTGACAGCTTTACTTCTTCTTTTCCAATTTGGATTCCTTTTATTTCCTTTTCTTCTCTGATTGCTGTGGCTAAAACTTCCAAAACTATGTTGCATAATCGTGGTGAGAGTGGGCAACCTTGTCTTGTTCCTCATCCTAGTGCAAATGGTTTCAGTTTTTCACCATTGAGGACGATGTTGGCTGTGGGTTTGTCATATATGGCCTTTATTATGGTGAGGTAAGTTCCCTCTGTGCCTAATTTCTGGAGGGTTTTTATTATAAACGTGTGTTGAATTTTGTTGAAAGATTTCTCTGCATCAATTGAGATGATCATATGGATTTTATTCTTCAGTTTGTTAATATGGTGTATCACATTGATTGATTTGCATATATTGAAGAATCCTTGCATTCCTGGGATAAACCCCACTTGATCATGGTGTATGATCCTTTTAATGTGCTGTTGGATTTGTTTGCTAGTATTTTGTTGAGGATACTTCCATCTATGTTCATCAGTGATATTGGCCTGTAGTTTTCTTTCTTTGTGACATCTTTGTCTGGTTTTGGTATCAGGGTGATGGTGGCCTCATAGAATGAGTTTGCAAGTGTTCCTCCCTCTGCTATTCTTTGGAGGAGTTTGAGAAGGATAGGTGTCAGCTCTTCTCTAAATGTTTGATAGAATTCGCCCGTGAAGCCATCTGGTCCTGGGCTTTTGTTTGTTGGAAGATTTTTAATGGCAGTATCAATTTCAGTGCTTGTGCTTGGTCTGTTCATATTTTCCATTTCTTCCTGATTCAGTCTTGGAAGGTTGTGCATTTCTAAGAATTTGTCCATTTCTTCCAGGTTGTCCATTTTATTGGCATAGAGTTGCTTGTAGTAATCTCTCATGATGCTTATATTTCTGCGGTGTCAGTTGTTACTTCTCCTTTTTCATTTCTAATTCTATTGATTTGAGTCTTCTCCCTTTTTTTCTTGATGAGTCTGGCTAATGGTTTATCAATTTTGTTTATCTTCTCAAAGAACCAGCTTTTAGTTTTATTGATCTTTGTTATGCTTTCCTTCATTTATTTTTCATTTATTACTGATCTGGTTTTTATGATTTCTTTCCTTCTGCTAAGTTTGGGGGTTTTTTTGTTTTTCTTTCTCTAATTGTTTTAGGTGTAAGGTTAGGTTGTTTATTTGAGATGTTTCTTGTTTCTTTACATAGGATTTTATTGCTATAAACTTCCTTCTTTAGAACTGCTTTTGCTGCATCCAGTAGGTTTTGGGTCATCGTGTTTTCATTGTCATTTGTTTCTAGGTATTTTTTGATTTCCTCTTTGATTTCTTCAGTGATCTCTTGGTTATTAAGTAGTGTATTGTTTAACCTCCATATGTTTGTACTATTTAGAGATTTTTTTCCCTGTAATTGATATCTAGTCTCATAGTGCTGTGGTCGGAAATGGTACTTGATACAATTTCAATTTTCTTAAATTTACTGAGGCTTGATTTGTGACCCAACATATGACCTATCCTGGAGAATGTTCTGTGAGCACTTGAGAAGAAAGTGTATTCTGTTGTTTCTGGATGGAATGTCCTATAAATATCAGTTAAGTCCATCTTGTTTAATGTATAATTTAATGCTTGTGTTTCCTTATTTATTTTCATTTTGGATGATCTGTCCATTGGTGAAAGTGGGGTGTTAAAGTCCCCTGCTATGATTGTGTTACTGTCGATTTCCCCTTTTATGGGTGTTAGTATGTGCCTTATGTATTGAGGTGCTGCTATATTGGGTGCATAAATATTTACAATTGTTATATCTTCTTTTTGGATCAATTCCTTGATCATTATGTAGTGTCCTTCTTTGTCTCTTGTAATAGTCTTTATTTTAAAGTCTATTTTGTCTGATATGAGAATTGCTACTCCAGCTTTCTTTTGATTTCCATTTGAATGGAATATCTTTTTCCATCCTCTCACTTTCAGTCTGTATGTGTCCCTAGGTCTGAAGTGGGTCTCTTGTAGACAGCATCTATACGGGTCTTGTTTTTGTATGGATTCAGCCAGTCTATGTCTTTTGGTTGGAGCATTTAATCCATTTACATTTAAGGTAATTATCGATATGTATATTCCTATTACCATTTTCTTAATTGTTTTGGTTTTGTTATTGTAGGTCTTTTCCTTCTCTGGTGTTTCCTGCCTAGAGAAGTTCCTTTAGCATTTGTTGTAAAGCTGGTTTGGTTGTGCTGAACTCTCTCAGCTTTTGCTTGTCTGTAAAGGTTTTAATTTCTCCATCAAATCTGAATGAGATCCTTGCTGGGTAGAGTAATCTTGGTTGTAGGTTTTTCCCCTTCATCACTTTAAATATGTCCTGCCACTCCCTTCTGGCTTGCAGAATTTCTGCTGAAAGATCAGCTTTTAACCTTATGGGGATTCCCTTGTGTGTTATTTGTTGTTTTTCCCTTGCTGCTTTTAATATTTTTTCTTTGCATTTAATTTTTGATAGTTTGATTAATATGTGTCTTGGCGTGTTTCTCCTTGGATTTATCCTGTATGGGACTCTCTGTGCTTCCTGGACTTGATTAATTATTTCCTTTCCCATATTAGGGAAGTTTTCAACTATAATCTCTTCAAATATTTTCTCAGTCCCTTTCTTCTTCTCTTCTTCTTCTGGGACCCCTATAATTCAAATGTTGGTGCGTTTATTGTTGTCCAGAGGTCTCTGAGACTTTCCTCAATTCTTTTCATTATTTTTTCTTTTTTCTGCACTGCGGTAGTTATTTTCACTATTTTATCTTCCAGGTCACTTATCTGTTCTTCTGCCTCAGTTATTCTGCTATTGATCCCTTCTAGAGTATTTTAAATTTCATTTATTGTGTTGTTCCTCACTGTTTCTCTGCTCTTTAGCTCTTCTAGGTCCTTGTTAAACGTTTCTTGTGTTTTCTCCATTCTATTTCCAAGATTTGGATCATCTTTACTATCATTATTCCGAATTCTTTTTCAGGTAGACTGCCTATTTCCTCTTCATTTGTTAGGTCTGGTGGGTTTTTACCTTGATCCTTCATCTGCTGTGCATTTCTCTGTCTTCTCATTTTGCTTAACTTACTGTGTTTGGGGTCTTCTTTTCACAGGCTGCAGGTTCGTAGTTCCTGTTGTTTTTGGTGTCTGTCCCCAGTGGCTAAGGTTGGTTCAGTGGGTTGTGTAGGCTTCCTGGTGGAGGGGAGTAGTGCCTGTGTTCTGGTGGATGAGGCTGGATCTTGTCTTTCTGGTGGGCAGGTCCACGTCTGGTGGTGTGTTTTGGGGTGTCTGTGGCCTTATTATGATTTTAGGCAGCCGCTCTGCTAATGGGTGGGGTTGTGTTCCTGTCTTGCTAGTTGTTTGGCATAGGGTGACCAGCATTGTAGCTTGCTGGTCTTTTGAGTGGAGCTGGGTCTTAGCATTGAGATGGAGATCTCTGGGAGATTTTTCCTGTTTGATAATACGTGGAGATGGAAGGTCCTTTGTGGACCAATGTCCTGAACTTGGCTCTCCCACCTCAGAGGCACAGCCCTGATGCCTGGCTGGAGCACCAAGAGCCTGTCATCCACATGACTCAGAATAAAAGGGAGAAAAAAAAAGAAAGAGGAAGATAAAAGAAAGTAAAAGTTTTTAAAAAATAAAAAATTATTAAAAAAGTTTTTTAAAGTAATAAAAAAAGAAAGAAAAGAGCAACCAAACCAAAAAACAAATCCACCAATTATAACAAGTGCTAAAAACTATACTAAAAAAAAAAAAAGAAACGAACAGACAGAACCCTAGGACAAATGGTAAAAGCAAAGCTATACGGACAAAATCTCACACAGAAGCACACACATAGACACTCACGTAAAGAGAAAAAGGGGAAAAAGGAAATATATATATATATATATCGTTGCTCCCAAAGTCCACCTCCTCAGTTTGGGATGATTCGTTGTGTATTCAGGTATTCCACAGATGCAGGTACATCAGGTTGACTGTGGAGCTTTAATCTGCTGCTTCTGAGGCTGCTGGGAGAGATTTCCCTTTCTCTTCTTTGTTCACACAGCTCCTGGGGCTCAGCTTTGGATTTGGCCCTGCCTCTGCGTGTAGGTCACCTGAGGGCGTCTGTTCTTCGCTCAGACAGGACGGGGTTAAAGGAGCCGCTGATTCGGGGTCTCTGGCTCACTCAGGCCGGACGGAGGGAGGGGCACGGAGTGCGGGGCGGGGCTGCGGCGGCAGAGGCCGGCGTGACGATGCACCAGCCTGAGGCGCGCCGTGCGTTCTCCCGGGGAAGTTTTCCCTGGATCCCGGGACCCTGGCAGTGGCGGGCTGCACAGGCTCCTGGGAACTGGGGTGTGGAGAGTGACCTGTGCTCACACACAGGCCCCTTGGTGGCGGCAACAGCAGCCTTAGCGTCTCCTGCCCGTCTCTGGGGTTCGCGCTTTTAGCCGCGGCTCGCGCCCGTCCCTGGAGCTCCTTTAATCAGCGCTCTTAATCCCCTCTCCTCGCGCACCAGGAGACAAAGAGGGAAGAAAAAGTCTCTTGCCTCTTCGGCAGGTCCAGACTTTTCCCCGGACTCCCTCCCGGCTAGCCGTGGCGCACTAGCCCCCTGCAGGCTGTGTTCACGCCGCCAACCCCAGTCCTCTCCCGGCGCTCCGACCGAAGCCCGAGCCTCAGCTCCCAGCCCCGCCCGCCCCGGCGGGTGAGCAGACAAGCCTCTCGGGCTGGTGAGTGCCGGTCGGCCCCGATCCTCTGTGCAGGAATCTCTCCGCTTTGCCCCCCGCATCCCTGTTGCTGCGCTCTCCTCCGTGGCCCCGAAGCTCCCCCTCCGCCACCCGCTGTCTCCGCCTGAGAAGGGGCTTCTAGTGTGTGGAAAACTTTCCTCCTTCATGGCTCCCTCCCCGAGGTGCAGGTCCCGTCCCTATTCTTTTGTCTCTGTTTTTTGTTTTCTCTTTTGCCCTACCCAGGTATGTGGGGGAGTTTCTTGCCTTTTTGGAGGTCTGAGGTCTTCTGCCAGCGTTCAGTAGGTGTTCTGTAGCAGTTGTTCCACGTGCAGATGCATTTCTGATGTATTTGTGGGGAGGAAGGTGACCTCCACGTCTTACTCTTCCGCCATCTTGAAGCTCCTCTCTCTGGCAAGTATTTTAGTAGCAATTGACCTATCTTGAATTTTCATGAATAATTTTTTCACTTATACCAAACACTGAGACTTCATTTTACTTGGCCTTGTCATATTTTTGTTTTATGTAATAAATTTACTTGAGCTGTATTGAAAAAATAAAAGAAATAATTGGATAAAGGGTATTACCTCTTTGGCTAATGATCACATAGCCAGGGATAATATATAGTCAATGTTACTGTTCTGAATCAGTAGTCAGTTCAATGTTGTTCTCTTTTTTTAGGAGATGAGACAAAGAATTACTAACATCAATTAGTAAATATTTAAATGCCTAAGAACATGAAATGTGGACAGCAATGATCAATGGGAATAATGCTTCAATCTTTTTCTCATCTGCTGTGCTTTATGCTCCTCAGGGTGGGTACTGAATGCTGTTCAAGGTTCTGCCATGATCCCTGTGGTCAAAAAATTTATGTTTGCATCTACATGTGCGGACCGTCGTAAGTAATAATTAAATTTCTTGTCAAGGCGACTAATGGCATTCACTATCGGGGACTTCCCTGGTGGTCCAGCGGTTAAGACTCCATGCTTTCACTGCAGGGGGCGAGGGTTCAATCCCTCATTGGGGAACTAAGATCCCACGTGTTGCGCAGCCAGAAAAAAAAATATCTGTGAAATGTAATGACAGAAGACCAACCATAGCCTGACAGTGAAGCTGGTGTTGACATGAAGCATGATGTTGATTAATTGATATATTAAACATCGAGGTCAAATAGAGAAAGAGATCTAGTCTCTGTGGGAAATAATTCTATAGACAGATCTTAGGAATTTTCAAGAGACTTCTTAGGTTTTTGTGATTTACATGAATTTATTTTGTTATTATTTGTGAATGATTGAGTTAAACAGAAGATGAAGAATAAGGGTAAATTAGGGACCAGTGATGATGACTGGCGCATATGAGTCATATACAGTGAATATTACGTGTCGGGAGCTCTGAGGTCCAACTTAAAAAGAATCTCGTACGTTCACCCTGTTTGACATGTTCCATTAGACATTTGCCACATATATGCAAGGATCTTTTTCTTGAACTTGTGGCCATAGACTTAAAAAATATTGTTATAAAAGTATCAATAGCAGAGTAAGGTTGATGTTTGATTGATTAAGAGAAAACTAAATAAATATTACTATAAATTAATAAATACCTAAATTACTATGTATGTGAATGGTAGGAAGTATGGATTAATGGCGTGAATGTCTCAATCTTTTTATTACCTTCTCTGCTTGGTACTCTTCAGAACAGATACTGGAGCTGATTTCAACTTCCACCATGATCAAGGTTACCGTACTGCCTTTGTCAGGAAAGAGACAAAGGTAGGTAACGGTCAGAGATCTTGTCTTGGTTTGGGTCTTCACTTAAGGGTGTTCATGGTATTATTAAAAATTCTTAAATCAAAAAGTTAACTATTGTCAATGATAAATATGTATGAAACATGTTGATTAATCAATGATGTGTAACACTGAGATTGAATAACAGAAGAGATATGATCCATGTGGGAAATGATTGTATAGACAGACTGTAGGATCTTGCTCTTGGTTTTTTTGTGTGTGAATTATATACTTATTTTATTATTATCAAAGAATTAATAATTATTAATAGTTTAATCAGTGCAAACACCGATGAAGAAAATGACAGCCTGATATGGAATAACATGACATCGATGACTGCTGGTGACATATGAGTAGTGGGTGATGAAAATAAGTGTCTGAAATGCTGAGACCCAATACACAACGTAATGTGTTTGATCCTTCTTTTGGAAATGATCATATAGACAACTGTCAGAAATACACAAAGGTCGTGTTCTTATGTTAGATTCATAGATTTAATGGATCATAGATAGAACCATTAGAGAAAGGTAAAAGTGAAAATGCAGCATTATTCAATCATGAACATATGTAGTGAGGCAAGATATATTATTAATAAATATGGAAAACAGCGAAGCCCTTTGAGAAATAAATGGATCAAGGGTGTTACTTCTTTGGCTTAGGATCATGTAGACATAGATAATTAACAGTCAGTTTCATTATTCTGGATCAGTTGCAAGGTTGAGGTTGTTCTCTTTGTTAATAGAAAAAATGTGTATATATAATGAAAAATTAATGAATACCTAAAAAATTGGAGTAAGTGATGTGGAAAGGAAGGACCAATGTAGAGAAGGTCCTAACTTTTTTTTTTTTTATAAACTGTTCTGCTCTATACTCCTCAGAGTGAACACCCTTGAGGGATTTAACCATCTTACATGATCACAAGCTCTTTGGTTGCATCTATACATTAGAAGCACGGAGACCACTGTAAGTCAAAGTTCTCGTGTTGGTTTGGGTGGTTTGCTTAAGAGTAGTTACTGTATGATTAGTGTGAATTAATGAATTAATAAACAATTTAGAAATGAACAAAGAGAAATTGAGCCAATCCTGGACCAATGATGATGACTGATGATTTGAATCAAGGATGATAAATAATATGTGTCTGAAACTCTGAGGTGCAGCAAAAAGAAATCTAATGCATTAACTCTGTTTGTAAAGATCCTATAGATAAAAGTCAGGAATATACAAGGATCTTGTTTATTCTTTGTGTTCATTCATGCATTTTCACTTTACTGTTATAATTGGAGAAATGAAATAATCAAAAACCAAATATGTAAATAAATAAAGCTGAATGGATGAATCCTTATCCAATTATAAAAATATGTGGTCATGCGAGAAATACTGTTAATAAATTTGAAAACAGTGAAGTCCAAAGAGAAGCGAATGGTGCATAACTGTTAAATCTTTGGCTAAGAATAATACAGACAAGAGTAAGATTATTTACTGTTATCAGTGAGATTACTTACTGTAAGTCATTGCTCATTTTCTGTGTCAGGGACAAGTTTTAAGTTCACTTTTTTAAGAGAAAATGAAATAAACATACTCCAAATTAACGATTGTCTAAGTCACTAAAAATGAAATGCAGAAGCAAGGATCAATGGAGATTAGTTCTCAATATTTTATTATCTGCTCTGACCTGTACTTCTCAGAATGGATGCCCTTGAGCTGATTTAAGCATCTTCCATGGACAGGAGCCCTATGGTTGCATCTGTGTTAGGAGGATGGAGAAACAATGTGAGTAGTAGTCAGTGTTCTTGTCTTGGATTGAGCCGTATTTTCTTTTAATTATTACTTTAAAAGATATTATTTTAAAAATTAAATATAATAAAAAAGTCCAAGCATGCTAATGTCAAATACCATTGACACAAAACAATATGATTAATCCATATATGAAACACTGAGTTCAGTTAATGAAAGAGTTGGGTGTCAGGGGAAATGATTGTATAGATAAATGTTAGGGATATTCAAGACTCTTACACATAATTTTTTGTGTGATTATTTATTTATTTGGCTTTGTTGGGTCTTTGTTGCTGTGCACGGGCTTTCTCTGGTTGCGGCGAGTGGGAGCTACTCTTCATTGTGGTGCGCAGGCTTCTCGTTGCAGTGGCTTCTCTTGTTGCGGAGAACGGGCTCTAGACATGCGGCTTCAGTAGCTGTGGCAAGCGGGCCCTAGAGCGCACAGGCTTCAGTAGTTGTAGCACATGGGCTCAGTAGTTGCGGCATGAGGGCTCTAGGGTGTGCTGGCTCAGTAGTTGTGACTCGCGGGCTCTAGAGTGCAGGCTCAGTAGTTGTGGTGCATGGGCTTTGTTGCTCTGCGTCATGTGGGATCTCCCCGGACCAGGGATTGAGCCCGTGTCCCCTGCATCGGCAGGTGGTCTCTCAACCACTGGGCCACCAGGGAAGTCCCTGATTTATGTTTATTTAAATAATAGGGAATTAATTAATAAACAAATGTAGAGGACAGTAGAGAAAACTGCCTCTCCTGGACCGTTGGCCACGACTTGAGGCATAGGAGTCATATATGGTGAATACCATGTGTCTGTAACCCTGATTCCACACAACGCAAAATCTAGCCTATCTTCTGTTATAAATGACCCCATGGGTCGATGTTAGGAATATACAAACATTATATTCCTATTCTGGGTTAATAGATTTAGATGTATTATTAATAATAAATCAGCAATCTAGCCATTAAAAAATGTAAAAAAACACATAAAAAGAAGAAGGCAAAGCATTGTTCACTAGGAACATATGTGGTCAGGCAAGAAATATTATTAATAAAATAGAAAACATTCATGCCCTTTAAGCAATAAACGAATGTTTTGCCCTTTTGCTGAAAGGATCATACAGACACTGATAAGTAAGAGTCAACATTGTTGATCTGGGTCAGTCTCAAGTTTAAGGTTTTCTTTTCTTAAGAGAAAAAATACTATGTTATGACAAATTAATGAATGCCTAAATGAGTAAATGAAATGTGGATAACAAGGATCAATGGAGATAAGGTCTGAAATTTTTTATCATCTTTTCTGCTCTGTACCTCTTAGAATGGGAGCACTCAAGCTGGTGGAAGGATTCTTCTGTGGTCCTGAGAGCTCTGGTTGCATTCACGTGTTAGGACTGTGGAGACCATGTGAGTAATAGACAAATTTTGGGCTTAGTTTCAATATTTTATTTAAGGCTATTGACTGTATTATTGCAAGTTGTGAAATATAATCAATGAAATCCAAATAGCCCAGAGTGAAATATGGGATTAATATGAAGTATTATATTGATTCATTCATAAAATGAAAAATGAGAGTAATTAATGAAAGATGTTGACACAAGAATGATTCTAAATATATATTAGAGATTTCTAAGCTCTTTGGTGGTTCCGATGAATAACCATTTTTAAAATTATGATTACCGAATTATGAATTGAGCAATAAGTAATATATAAATGAATGAGTAAAAAGAGGTATGGTATTGGATCGATGATGACTACTGGTGGCGTATGAGTCGTGTACAATGAATACGTTCTGGAACTCTGAGGTCCGATGCGAAAGAAATGTCTTTCTTCTCTTCATGCATTTTCACTCTTTATTATAATTGAAGCAATGAAAGAATCAGTAAACAAACGTGGACAAATGGAGAGAAAGTCTCAATCTTTATCACCTTCTGTTTAGTACTTTTCAGAATAGAAGCTCAGAGCGATTTCAGCCTCTATTGTGATCAAGGTTATCATTTTCAGGTTGGTATAGGACAGAGACCCAGGTGAGTAATGACCAATGTTCCTCTCTTGGTTTGGGTAATTTACTTAAGTGTTTTCATTGTATTCTAAAAAGTAATAAATTCAATCAACAGGTTAATAATGGCCCATTGATAAATATGACCTGAAACCTTATACTGATTAATTGATATTGTAGGGACTTCCCTGGTGGTGCAGTGGTTAGAATCTGCCTGCCAATGCAGGGGATACGGGTTCCAGCCCTTGTCCGGGAAGATGCTACATGCTGCAGAGCAACTAAGCCCGTGTGCCACAACTACTGAGCTGTGCTCAAGAGCCCACGAGCCACAAGTACTGAGCCTGTGTACCTAGAGCCTGTGCTCCGCAACGAGAGAAGCCACCACAATGAGAAGCCCGCACACCACAACGAAGAGTAGCCCCTATTTGTCACAACTAGAGAAAGCCTGAGTGCAGCAACAAAGACCCAACGCAGCCAAAAATAAATAAATAAATAAATTTATTTTAAAAAATTGATATTGTATAACATTGATATTCATTAATGAAAGAGTTGTAATCTATTTTGGTAATGATTAGAGAGAAGTTAGGGATATTCGAGTGTCTTGTTCTTTGTCTTTTGTTAATCATATATTTATTTTATTACTATCAATGAAGTAATGATTTAATTGATACAAATATATAAATGAATGGACTAAAATTGGGCTTAAATGAACCAGTGATGAGGATTGGTAGAGGTTGAGGCACAGACGATGAATAATAAGTATCTGGAACCCTGAGGTCCAAGACAATACATACTCTATTTTCATGTTTATTTGATCCTATGGACAGATGTTAGGAATGTATAATTTTCAAGTTCTTCGATTAAGTTTTAAAATTATTACTAGATCAATGAGAGCACTATTAAAATTACATAAATAATAGATTACAAAGAAAGGATAAATTATGTTCTCATTATGAACATCTATGATGAGACAAGAAATATTAATAAAAATTTCCAGCACTAATGACCATTATGAAATAGATGGAGCAAGGGTGTCATCACTTTTTCCAGATACCAGATAGACTTGAACAATTAGGAGTCAATTTTATTGTTCTGAGTCAGTCTTAAGTATGAGCTTGTTCTTTCTGTTAAGAGAAAACAATTTCTACATTAAGAAAAAGTTATAAATTCCTAAATGACTGGGTAAAAGAAATGTAGAATGCAAGAGTCAATGGAGATAAATTTTCTTTTTTTCTCATTGGCTGTGCTTCATATTGTTCAAAATGGACACATTTGTGCTGACGAAGTGTTATTCTGTGGGGATGCACCTTATGATTGCATCTCTGTGTTAGAAGCACAGAGACCAATGTGAGTAATAGTCAAATTTCTCGTCTTAGTTTCAGTGATTTTTTTTCCCCTGTGTATTCAGTGTATTACTTGAAACTTCCATATAGAGTAACAGAAGGCCAGTGTAGCTCAGTGATAAATATAGACCTTCATTATACACTAATTGATTAATGCATAGATGTATAATAGCATATAATTTAAAAAGAGGTACGTTGCTGTGAGAATGATCTATTTACAGTTAGTAATATCACGACTCTTCTTGGGTTTTGTGACTAATAATTTTAAAATTATTATGAGTGACTTACTGAAATAGTCAATAAACAAATAGAAATGAACAAAGAAAAGAGTAAAAAGTATTAAATTAATCAAAAACTCATAATTCAATGATAAATATAAGAAATATTCTTTTGAATAATTGATAATGGGCAGGATTGAGGTCGAAAATTGGAAGAGATGGACCCTTAATGGGAAATGATTCTGTAAACTGAGGTTAGGGGTATTGAAGGGTGTTATTCTTGGAATATTTAGTGAACCATATATGATTTTATTATTCTTCCATATAGAAATGATGGAAGAAAAGAGACTCAGTGATGGAACAGTGATGATGATTGTGACGGGAAGAGCCCTGAATGATGAAAACATGTCTGAAACTCTGAGGTCCAACCCAGACCGTAAGTAGTCTCTTCCTTCTGGTGAAACTGTTTCTATAGAGAGATGACAGGAATATAAATAGGTCACATTTTTGTGTGGATTTCATAGACAGATTTGTTATTATTAATAGATCTATAATGAACCATTTAGCAAATATAGATGAACATAAGGAAAAACAGGGTGAAGCGAGACAAAAGATACTGTTAATAAATATTGAAAACACTGATGCCCATTAAATAAATGGGTGAGGGTCACGTGTTTGGCCAAGGTTAGATAGAAAGACATGCATAAGCAAGAGTCAGTTTAATTGTTCTGCTTCAGACAAAAGACTGAGATTTTCTTTTAACAAGGTAAAAAATTTAGAGAGAAAAAGTAATAAAAACATAAATACTGAGTAACAGAAATGCCGAAAACAAAGATAGTGGTGATTAGGTCTGAATATTTTTATCATCTTCTGCGTTGCATACACCTCAGAGTGAAGTCACTAGACGTGATTTAGAATCGTCCATGGATATGAGCTATGGGTTTGCCTCTGCGAAATAGGAGATGGAGATTATTGTGAGTCATAGTAGAAGTTCTTTCCTCTATGGTTTTATTAAAGTAATTCAATGTATTTAATAAGAAATGAGGAATATAAGTAAAGAAGGAGACTGCATCTCAGTGTTGAGTATGGATATAAAATCCACTCTATGGTTTAATACATATATAGAAAACAATGTATTAAAGAGAGATATATATTTAAGTAATAATTATTCTATATAGATGAAGGCTTTTCGTATTTTTTCTTGAATTGTACTGCTAAAAATAATTAGTGAATTTTTTATTTAATCAAAAAAAAGATGTGTACGTAGAAAAAGGACCAATGTTGGATCGATGATGATTTCTGTTCATCAGTATGAGTGATATAAAGTGAATACTTGTCTGGAATTTTGAGGTCCGATATTACATTAATCTATTCCATTCTCAACTCAAGAAGGCATCCTATAGGCAGGAATAAATGAGGAGCTTACTTTGGTCTTGTGTTCATATTTTTCATTCTATTATTAAAATAGGAAAATGGGAGAATCTATAAATACATATGTAATTAAAAATAAAGGTGAATGATCTGTATACCTTCTTGGGAGAAATGTCTATTTAGATCGCCCATTTTTTGATTGGGTTGTTGTTATTTATTTATTATTTTTTAAATTAACGTGTATTGGAGCATGGTTGCTTTACAATGTTGTGTTAGCTTCCACTGCACAACAAAATGAATCAGAGCTGCGTGAGCTGTTTGTATATTTTGGAGACTAATCCCTTGTTAGTTGCTTGGTTTGCAAATATTTTCTCCCATTCTGAGGGTTTTCTTTTCGTTTTGTTAATGGTTTCCTTTGTTGTGCAAAAGCCTTTAAGTTTAATTAGGTCCCATTTGTTTATTACTGTTTTTATGTTCATTAGTTTAGGAGATGTATCAAAAAAGATCTTGCTGCAATTTGTGTCACAGAGGGTTCTCCCTATGTTTTCCTCTAAAAGCTTTACACTATCTGGCCTTACATTTAGGTCTTTAATCCATTTTGAGTTTATTTTTGTGTATGGTGCTAGGGTGTGTTCTAATTTCATTCTTCAACATGTAGCTGTCCAGTTTTCCCAGCACCACTTATTGAAGAGACTGTCTTTTCTCCATTGTATATGTATACTTGCCACTTTTGTCATAGATTAGGTGACCATAAATGCATGGGTTTATCTCTGGACTTTCTATCCTGTACCACTGAGCTATATTTCTCTTTCTGTGCCAGTACCATACTGTTTGATGACTATAGCTTTCTAGAAGAGTCTGAAGTCAGGGAGCCTGATTTCTCCAGATCTGTTTTTCTTTCTCCAGATTGCTTTGGCTATTCATGGTCTTTTGTATTTCCATACAAATTGTAAAGTTTCTTGTTCTAATTCTGAAAAAAAAATTGGTAATTTGATAAGGATTGCATTGAATCTGTAGGTATCTTTGGATATGTAGCCGTTTTCAGAATATTGATTCTTTCATCCAAGAATATGGTATAGCTCATCGTCTGTTTGTGTCATCTTTTATTTCTTTCATCAGCATCTTATAGTTTTCTAATTACAGGTCTTTGGCTTCCTTACGAAGATTTATTCCTAGCTATTTTATTCTTTTTGATGCAACGGTAAATGTGATTGTTTCCGTAATCCCTATTTATGAACTTCCGTTGTTAGAGTATAGTAATGCAAGAGATTTCTGTGTATTAATTGTGAATCCTGCAACTTTTCCAAGTTCATTGAAGAGCTCTACTAGTTTTCCGGTATCGTATATATGATTTTATATGTATAATATAATATCATTGGCAAATAGTGACAGTTTTAAATTTCCTTTTCCAATTTGGATCACTTTTAATTCTTTTCTTCTCTGATACCAGTGGTTAGGGCTTCCAAAACTATGCTGAATTATACCCAAATAAAAAATTTAAAATATTAGGTGAGCGAAAAAAAAACCAATTTCCAATTACGGGAAATATGGGTGGAGACAATAGAGAGCTAGTGGGAAGCAGCCGCGTAGCACAGGGAGATCAGCTCAGTGCTTTGTGACCGCCTAGAGGGGTGGGATAGGGAGGGTGGGAGGGAGGGAGACGCAAGAGGGAAGAGATATGGAGACAAATGTATATGTATAGCTGATTCACTTTGCTATATAGCAGAAACTAACACACCATTGTAAAGCAATTATACTCCAATAAAGATGTTTAAAAAAAAAGATATACCAGTAATATGTCAAGCAAAGCTGGAATTTCAATTAAAAAGCAAAGGACATGACTGTTACCACTTAGGGTAAGGAGGAGGGTCAGGAGAAGTGGTTGACAACCTTCATATTCTGGCACAGCGGCAAGATCGAAGATTCCTTTTCAACAGATTTCACATATCCTCAACATTAGTGATTGCCTAAATAATGATGTGAATGCGGAAGCAGGGATAAGTGGAGAGTGTCTCCACCATTTTTATCTTCTGCTTTGTTTTATACTCCTCAGAGTGGATGCACTGGACCAGAAATGAGGATTCTTCCTTGAGTGCCAGCCCAGGATGGCATCTTTGTCATAGGAGCCTGGACACCCATGTGAGCATCATCTAGTTCCTAGTCTGGGGGTGGGTGGTTTCTCAAAAAGTAATGACTAAGCTAAAAAAAATGGGTGAAAGAAAATTAAAGGAGGCCATCTTTATCCCATTGATAAAAAAGGAACTGTTGTGAAGCAAAAACCCAATAATAAATATGAGAGATATGATGATGTGAGAATGGTTATAGAGACAGGTGAACGATATCGAGGTCTCGCTGGGTTTTGCAAACCCTAGAGTGTCAAAATTTGCATTAGTGAAGTAACGCATGCATCAGTGAAACATACAGAATGAAGAGAAAGTCATCTTTTCTGGATCGATGATGATAAATGCCAGCGCATGAGTCATCGATGACGAATAATACGTGTCTGGACCTCTCAGGTCCAATACACAAGAAATGTGGTCTATCTCTTCATGCGTTTTCACTGGTTATGCTAATTGAGCCAATGAAAGCATCAGTAAACAAATCTGCTGGTCCATGGAGAGAAAGTCTCAATCTCGGTCATTACCTTCTCTGTTTGGTACTTTTCAGAATAGAAGCTCAGGCGATTTAAGCCTCCATTTTGATCAAGCTTCTCCTTTTCAGGTTGCTATGGGACAGAGACCCAGGTGAGTCATGGCCAGCGTTCCTGTCTTGGTTTGGGAAATTTGTTTAAGTGTTTTCATTGTGTTCTCAAAGGGTATATATCAAAGGGTTGATGGCCCGTTGAAAAATAAGCCATGAGAGCTTATGCTGATGAAGTGATCATCTAGATCCTGGAAATGCGTTAAGGAAAGAGATCTCATGTATGGTGATAGTGTTTGGACAGAAGTTAGGGATATTTGCAGGTCTTGTTCTTGGGTTTGGGGTATTTGTGTCTTTCTTTCATTAGTATCAATGGTATAATGATTTATTTGATAGAGATATGTCAATGAATGAAGTAAAATTGGACCCAAGGGGACCAAAGATGAAGTTGGGTAGAGGATAGAGCATGGGCAAGGAACTATAAGTATCTGGAATTTGAGGGCCAAGAAGGATACATACTCTGTTTTCTACATTGATTTCTTCCTATGGACAGATGTTCAGAATATATAACATCAGGCTCTTAGTTTGGGTTACTCAATTTAGATTTCATATTATTAATCGATAAGTGATAGAACCCTTCAAAATATGTAAATAGTAGATTAAGAAGAAAAAGTCAGTTAATTCGTACTGTGGACACATGTGGTCTGGCAAGAAGCAATCCTAAATATTTCCACTGGTGATGACCGTTAATAACAAATGGATCTAGGAGGTCAGCTGTTTGGCCAAGCTTCATGTGGATGTGAATAATTAAGAGTCAATTTTATTGTTCTGGGGTGCTCTCAAGTTTGACGGTATTTTTGTTAGTAGAAAAAGAAAAATCTCTGCGTTATGAAAGAGTGACCAATTCCTCATGACTGAGAACATTAAATCTGGAAAGAATGCATCAAAGTCCATAAAGTTTCCTTTCTCTCTCTCTTTTGTTTCATTGACTGTGCTTTCTATTGATTAAAGTGGGCATGTTCGAGCTGATCAAGCTATCAGTATTCCATGGTGAGGCACCTTATAATTGCAGGAACCCATGTGAGTAATAATCAAATTTCATGTCATGGTTTCTGTTATTATTTTGTCCCTCTGTGTATGCATTCAGTATATTACTAGAGAGATCCCTATAGGAAAACAGAAGGCCAGTCAGCTCAGTGATAAATGTTACATTTTATGAAATATTAATTGCTTACTGCCCCAATGAAAAAAACAAGGCAAAACAAAACAAACCACAACACAAAATCAGCATTGTGATTTACAGGTGAGACACACTGCTGTGAGAATAAATTATGGAGAGAAGAGGGATATCATGACTGCCCTTAGGTTTCGTGATTAATAGGGTCTTCAATACCTATGAGAGATTTATTGCCTCAATCAGTACACGGTGTAGAAATACGTGAAGAGAAGGAGGGACACTATTGGATTGATGATGACTACTGGTGGCGTATGAGTCGTGTACGATGAATACGTGTCTGGAGCTCTGAGGTCCGATGCAAATGGAATCTAGTCCATTGTCCTGTTGGTAGTGACCCTAGAGGCTGAAGTCAGGAATGAATGAGGGTCTTCTTTGCAGTCTTTCTGTTTATGCCTTTTCATTCTGTTTGTACAATTGAAAAACTGAGGCTCTCTTCATAAATATATGAATAAAACTAAAGATGAATGATGGAAAACAATTTCCAATCACAGAAATATGGGTGGAGACGAGATATACAATTAATATATCAAGGAAAGCCTGAATTTCAATTAGAAAGCCATGGCACATGACTTTTACCACTAGGGTAAGGAGCAGGCCAGGATAATGGGTAGAAAAACTTCATAATATGGCACACCGGCAAGATTGAACTGGTTTCTTTTCAACAGATTTCACATATCCGCTGTATTAGAGATTGCCTAAGTAACAGTGGGAATGTGGAAGCCGGGATGAGTGGTGAGTGTCTCCACCATTTTTATCTTCTGCTTTGCTTTATACTCCTCAGAGTGGATGCACTGGACCAAAAAAGAGGCTTTGTCCTCGAGTGCCAGCCTAGGGATGGCATCTTGGTCATAGGAGCCCGTGTGAGCATCATCTAGTTCCTAGTCTGGGGGTGGGTGTTTTCACTAAAAGTAATGAGTATGCTAACAAAATGGGTGAAAGAAAATTGAAGGAGGGCATCTTTATCCCACTGATGAACAAGGAACTGCTGTGAAGCAGAAAGCCGATAATAAATATGAGAGAGATATGATGATGTGAGAATGGTTCTAGAGACAGGTGAGCGACATTGAGGCCTTGCTGGGTTCTGCAAAGCCTAGAGTGTCAAAATTGGCATTAGTGAAGTAACGCATGAATCAGTGAAACATATTGAATGAAGAGAAAGTCATCTTTTCTGGATCGATGATGATAAATGCTAGCATATGAGTCATCGGTGATGAATAATATGTGTCTGGAACTTTGAGGTCCAACACACAAGAAATGTGGTCTTTCTCCTCGTTGGTTTTCATTGGTTATGTGAATTGAGCCAATGAAAGCATCAATCAACAAATAGGCAGATCCATGGAGAGAAAGTCTCCATCTCGTCATCACCTTCTCTGTTTGGTACTTTTCAGAATAGAAGCTCAAGGAGATTTCAGCCTCCATTGTGATCAAGGTTCTCCTTTTCAGGTTGCTATGGGACAGACACCCAGGTGAGCTATGGCCAGGTTTCCTGTCTTGGTTTGGGGAATTGGTTTAACTGTTTTTATTGTATTTGTAAAAGTCATCAATATACATAAAAGGGTTGACGAAGGCCTGACGAAGCCATGAGAGCTTATGCTGAAGAAGTGATTATCTAGATCCTGGAAGTTCATTAAGGAAAGTGATCTCATGTATGGTGATAGTGATTGGAGAGAAGTTAGGGATATTCGCGGGTCTTGTTCTTGGGTTTTGGGTATTCATGTCTTTTGTTCATTAGTATCACTGATGTAATGATTTAATTGATATATGTCAATGAATGAAATAAAATTGGACCCAAGGGGACCAACGATCAAGTTGGGTATAGGATGAGGCCTGGGTAGGGAACCATAAGTATCTGGAAGCCTGATGGCCAAGAAGGATTCATACTCTGTTTTCTCCATTGGTTTCTTCCAATAGACAGATGTCCGGCATATATAAAGTCATGCCCTTTGTTTGGGTTACACAATTCTGATTTCATACTATTAATAGATCAGTGATAGAATGGTTCAAAATATGTAAATAGTATATTAAGAAGAAAAGGTCAATCATTGCCTACATTGGGCACGTGTTCCAGCAATAAGTAATCCTGAAGATTACCACCACTGATGCCCATTGATAACAAATGGACCTATGAGGTCAACTTTTTGGCCAAGCATCATTTAGATGTGAATAATTAAGAGTCAGTTTTATTGTTCTGGGTCTCTGTGAAGTTTGAGGGTATTTTTGGTGTGTAGAAAAAGAAAAATCTCTGCATTACGAAAGAGTGATGAATTCTCCATGACTGAGAACATTAAATCTGCAACGAAAGCATCAAGGTCCATAAAGTTTCTTTCCTCTCTCTCTCTTTTCTGTCATCGACTGTTCTTTCTACTGATTAAAGTGGACACATTCGAGTTGAGCAAGCTATCAGTATTTCACGGTGATGGCATCTTATCATTGCCAGAACCCATGTGAGTAATAATCAAATTTCATGTCATGGTTTCCATTATTTTTTTGTCCCTCTGTGTTGCATTCAGTGTATTATTGGAAAGATCCCTATAGGAAAACAGAAAGCCAGTGCAGCTGGCTCAAAAGAAATGTGGTCTTTCTTATGTGTTTTCTTTGGTTATGCTAATTGAGCCTGTGAAGGCATCAGTCAACAAATCTTCGGATCCGTGGAGAGAAAGTCTGAATCTCGGTGATCGCCTTCTCTGTTTGGTACTCTTCAGAATAGAAGCTCAAGGTGATTTCAGCCTCCATTGTGATCAAGGTCCTCCTTTTCAGTTTGCTGTGGGACAGAGACCCAGGTGAGTTATGGCCAGGGCTCCTGTCTTGGTTTGGGGAATTGGTTTAAGTGTTTTCATTACATTCTCAAAAGTCATTGATATATATCAAAGGGTTGATGATGCCTGTTGAAAAATAAGCCATGAGAGCTTATGCTGATGAAGTGATCATCTAGATCCTGGAAATTCATTAAGGAAAGTGATCACATGTATGGTGATAGTGATTGGATAGAACGCATGGATATTCGCAGGTCTTGTTCTTGGGTTTTGGATATTCGTGTCTTTCTTTCATTAATACCAATGGTATAATGATTTAATTGATAGAGATATGTCAATGAATGAACTAAAATTGAACCCAAGGGGACCAACAAACAAGGTGGGTAGAGTATGAGGCATAGGCAAGGAACCATATGTATCTGGAAGCCTGAGGGCCAAGGATACGTACTCTGTTTTGATTTCTTCCTATGGACAGATGTTCAGAATATATAAAGTCATGCTCTTAGTTTGGTTTACTAAATTTATATTTAATACTATTAATCGATCAATGATAGAACCATTCAAAATATGTAAATAGTAGATTAAGAAGAGATGGTCAGTTATTGCCAAATGTGGACACATGTGGGCTGGCAAGAAGTAATCCTAAAGATTTCCACCCCTTACGCCCCTTAATTACAATTGGACCTAAGAGGTCAACTGTTTGGCCAAGAGTCATGTAGATGTGAATAATTGAGTCAATTTTATTGTTCTTGGCCACTCTCAAGCTTGAGGGTATTATTTTCTGTAGAAAAAAACATCTCTTCATTATGAAAGAGTGGTCAATTCCTCATGACTGAGAACATTAAATGTGGAAAGAAAGCATCAATGTTCATAAGTTTCCTTACTCTCTCTTTTGTTTCATCGACTGTGCTTTTATTGATTAAAATGGACACATTTGAGCTGATCAAGCCATCAGTATTCCATGGTGAGGCACCTTATAATTGCAGGAACCCGTGTGAGTAATAAGCAAATTTCTTGTCATGGTTTCCGTTTATTTTTGTCTGCCTGGGTGTGCATTCAAGGTATTATTCGAGATATTCATATAGGAAAACAAAAGGCCAGTGCAGTTCGGTGATACGTGTTACATTTTATGAAACATTAATTGATTACTGCCCCAATGAAAAAAACAAAACAAAACAAAACAAAACAAAACAACACAAAATCAGCATCATGATTTATAGGAGAGACACACTGCTGTGAGAATGAACTATGGAGAGAGGAGGGAAATCATGACTGCCCTTGGGTTTTGTGGTTAATAGGCTTTTCAGTATTTATGAGAGATTTATTGCCTTAATCAGTACACAATGTAGAAATACATGAAGAGAAGGAGGGACACTATTGGATTGATGATGACTACTGGTGGCGTACGAGTCGTGTACGATGAATACGTGTCTGGAGCTCTGAGGTCCGATGCAAATGGAATCTAGTCCATTGTCCTATTGGAAGTGACCCTAGGGGCTGAGGTCAGGAATGAATGAGGGGCTCCTTTGCAGTCTTTGTGTTCATGCCTTTTCATTTTGTTCGTGCAAATGAAAAACTGAGGCCCTCTTCATAAATATATGAGTTAAAATAAAGAAAAATGACGGAAAACAATTTCTATTCATGGATATATGGGTGGAAACAAGATATACCATTAATATGTCAAGGAAAGCCTGGATTTCAATTTTAAAGCCATGGGACATGACTGTTACCACTTAGGGTAAGGAGAAGGGGACCAGGGGAAGTGGTAGACAGCCTTCATATTCTGGCACAGAGGCAAGATTGAAGTTGTTCCTTTTCAACAGATCTCACATACCTGCTATGTTAGGGATAGCCTAAGTAATGATGTGAATGTGGAAGCAAGGATGAGTGGAGAGTGTCTCCACCATTTTTATAATCTGCTTCGCTTTATACTCCTCAGAGTGGATGCACTGGACCAGAAACGAGGATTCGTCCTCGAGGGCCAGCCTAGGATGGCATCATGGTCGTAGGAGCCAGGAGACCTGTGTGAGCATCATCTAGTTCCTAGTCTGGGGGTGGGCGCTTTCGCTAAAAGTAATGACTATGCTAACCAAATGGATGAAAGGAAATTAAAGGAGGGCATCTTTATCCCATTGATAAACAGGAACTCTTGTGAAGCAAAAACCAGATAATAAATATGAGAGAGATATGATGATGTGAGAATGGTTCTAGAGACAGGTGAGCGATATCAAGGCCTCACTGAGTTTTGCGAACCCTAGAGGGTCATAACTGGCATTAGTGAATTAACGCATGCATCAGTGAAACATATAGAATGAAGAGAAAGTCATCTTTTCTGATTATGAATAATAAGTGTCTGGAACTCTGAGGTCCAATACAAAAGAAATGTGATCTTTCTCTTCATGCTTTTTCATTGGTTTTGCTAATTGAGCCAAAGAAAGAATCAGTCAACAAATCTGCCTATCCATGGAGAGAAAGTCTCAATCTCAGTCGACACCTTCTCTGTTTGGTACTTTTCAGAATAGAAGCACAAGGTGATTTCAGCCTCCACTGTGATCAATGTTCTCCTTCTCAGGTTGCTATAGGACAGAGACCCAGGTGAGTTATGGCCAAGGTTTCTGCCTTGGTTTGGGGAATTGATTTAAGTGTTTTCATTGTATTCTCAGAAGTCATCGATACATATTAAAGGGTTGATGATATGGCCCATTTAAAAACAAGACATGAGCGCTTATGCTGATGAAGTGATCATCTAGATACTGGCAATGCATTAAGGAAAGAGATCTCATGTATGGTTATAGTGATTGGAGAGAAATTAGGGATGTTCATGGGTATACTGTTCTTGGGTTTTGTTTTTTCGTATCTTTCTTTCATTAATATCAATGATGTAATGATTTAATTGATAGTGATGTATCAATGAATGAACTAAAATTGGACCCAAGGGGACCAACGATGATGTTTGGTAGAGGATGAGGCATGGCCAAGGAACTATAAGTATCTGGAATCCTGAGGTCCAAGAAAGGCTACATACTTCGTTTTCTACACTGATTTCTTCCCTTGGACAGATGTTCGGAATATATAAAGTCATGCTCCTACTTTGCGTCACTCAATTTATATTTCATACTATTAATCGATCAGTGATAGAACACTTCAAAATGTATAAATAGTAGATTAAGAAGAAAAGGTCCATTATTGTCTACTGTGGACACATGGGGTTCAGCAAGAAGCAATCCTAAATATTTCCATCAGTTAGGACCGTTAATAACAAATGGACCTAGGAGGTCAACTGTTTCCAAGCATCATTTAGATGTGAATAATTAAGATTCAATTTTATTGTTCTGGAGCACTCTCAAGTTTGCGGGTATTTTTGATTGTAGAAGAAGAAAAATCTCTGCATTAGGAAAGAGTGATCAATTCGTGAATATTGAGAACTCTAAATTTGGACAGAAAGCATCAATGTCCATACAGTTTCCTTTTTCTTTCTCTTTTTTGTTTCATCGACTGTGCTTTCTACTGATTAAAATGGACATGTTCAAGCTGAGCAAGCCGTCAGTATTCCATGGTGATGCACCTTATGATTGCAGGAACCCACGTGGGTAATAAATTTCATGTCATGGTTTCCGTTATGTTTTTTTGTCCCTCTGTGTGTGCATTGAGTGTATTATTGGAGAGATACATACAGGAAAAGTAAGGCCAATGCAGCTCAGTGATAAATGTTACATTTTATGAAACATTAATTGATTACTGCCCGGATGGAAAAAACAAACAAATCAAAACAATACAAAACAAATCAACACAAACCCAGCATCATGGTTTACAGGAGAGACGCACTGCTGTGAGAATGAACTCTTTTGATAAGAGGGATATCATGACTGCCCTTAGGTTTTGTGATTAATAGGTTTTCCAATATTTATGAGAGATTTATTTCTTCAATCAGTAAACAATGTAGTAATAAGCAAAGAGAAGGAAGGGCCATAATAGATCGATTCCATGGCGATGCATCATATAACTGCAGGAACCCATGTAATCAATAATCTAATTTCGTGCCTTTCTTTCAGTCTTTTTCCTTCCTCTGAGTGTACACTCAGTTTATTTTTAGAAAGATCCATATAGGATAAAATAAAGCCAGTGCACCTCAGTTTTAAATGTTGCATTTTTCAAGCATTAGTTGATTACTACAGAGCTGAAAAAAAAATACAAAAGCAGCATCATAATTCACAGAAGAGATTCATTGCTGTGAGAATGAACTATTTACAGAATAGGGATATCATGATTCTCCTTAGGTTTTGTGTTTAATAGCACTTTCAATTATTTTGTGATGTATTGAATTATTCAATAAACAATGCCCAAATACTTGAGGTCACAGAAGTTACATTGTATGGCTGATTACTCCTGGTGGCTTATGGGTCATGAAAGTTGAATTTGTGTCTGTAACTTTGATGTCCTATTCAAAGCTAATCTAAGGATTTTTCTTTGGGCATCTGCCCTGGGTGGCATCTTTTTATAGGAGCCAGGAGACCAGTGCTGTCTACAAGAGACCCACTTTAGACCTAGTGACACATACAGACTGAAAGTGAAGGGATGGAAAAAAGATATTTCATGCAAATGGAAATCAAAAGAAAGCTGGAGTAGCAATACTTGTATCAGATAAAATAGACTTTAAAATAAAGACTCTTACAAGAGATATGGAGGGACACTACATAATGATCAAAGGATCAATCCAAGAAGAAGATATAACAATTATAAATATTTATGCACCCAACATAGGAGCACCTCAATGCATAAGGCAACTGCTAACAACCATGAAAGGGAAATTGACAGTAACACAATAATAGTAGAGGACTTTAGCACCCCACTTACACCAATGGACAGATCATCCAAACAGAAAATAAATAAGGAAACACAAGCTTTAAAATGACACAACAGACCAGATAGATCTAATTGATATTTATAGAACATTCCACCCAAAAGTGACAGATTACACTTTCTTCTCAAGTGCACATGGAACATTCTCCAGGATAGATCACATCTTGGGTCACAAATGAAGGCTTGGAAAATTTAGGAAAATTGAAATCATATCAAGCATCTTTTCTGACCACAAAGCTATAAGACTGGAAATCCATTACAGGAAAAAAACTGTAAAAAACACAAATACATGGAGGCTAAACAGTGTGCTACTTAATAACCAAAAGATCACTGAAGAACTCAAAGAAGAAATAAAAGAATACATAGAAACAAATGACAATAAAAACACAACGACCCAAAACCTATGGGATGCAGCAAAAGCAGTTCTAAGAGGGAAGTTTAGAGCAATACACTCTCACCTCAAGAAACATTTCAAATAAACAGTCTAACTCTACATTTAAAACAACTAGAGAAAGAAGAACAAAGAAAATCCAAAGTCAGTAGAAGGAAAGAAATCATAAAGATCAGAGCAGGAATAAATGGAATAGAAATGAAGAAAACAATAGCAACGATCAATAAAACTAAAAGCTGGTTCTTTGAGAAGATAAACAAAATTGATAAACCCTTAGCCAGACTCATCAAGAAAAAAAGGTAGAGGACGCAAATCAATAAAATTAGAAATGAAAAAGGAGAAATCACAACAGACAGTGCAGAAATACAAAGGATTATAACAGACTACTACAAACAACTATATGCCAATAAAATGGACAACCATGAAGAAATGGAAATTCTTGGAAAAGTACAATTTTCCAAGACTGAGCCAGAAAGAATTAGAAACTATAAACAGACCTATCACAAGTAGTGAAATTGAAACTGTAATTAAAAATCTTCCAGCAAACAAAAGCCCAGGACCAGATGGCTTCACAGGCGAATTCTATCAAACATTTAGAGAAGAGCTAACACCCATCCTTCTCAAACTCTTCCAGAAAATTTTAGAGGCACAAACACTCCCAAATTCAATCTACGAAGCCACCATCACCCTGATACCAAAACCAGAAAAAGATATCACAAAAAAAGAAAATTATAGACCAATATCACTGATGAACATAGATGCAAAAATCCTCAACAAAATACTATCAAACAGAACCCAACAACATATTAAAAGGATCATACACCATGATCAAGTGGGGTTTATTCCAGGGATGCAAGGATGCTTCAATATGTGCAAATCAATCAATGTGATACACCACATTAACAAAATAAGGAATAAAACCCATATGATCATCTCAGTAGATGCAGAAAAGCTTTTGACAAAAGTCAACACCCATTTATGATAAAAACTCTCCAGAAAATGGGCATAGAGGGAACCTGTCTCAACATAATAAAGGCCATATATGACAAACCCACAGCAAGCATCATACTCAATGGTGAAAAACTGAAAGCATTTCCACTAAGATCAGGAACAAGACAAGGATGTCCACTCTCACCTCTCTTATTCAACATAGTTCTGGAAGTCCTAACCACAGCAGTCAGAGAAGAAAAAGAAATAAAAGTAATACAAATTGGAAAAGAAGAAGGAAAACTGTAACTGTTTGCTGATGACATGATACTATACACAGAAAATCCTAAAGATGCCACCAGAAAACTACTAGAACTAATCAATGAATTTGGTAAGGTTGCAGGATACAAAATTAATGCACAGAAATCTCTGGCATTCCTATACACCACCAACAAAAAATCAGAAAGAAAAATTAAGAAAACACTCCCATTTACCATTGCAAGAAAAAGAATAATATATCTAGGAATAAATCTTCCTAAGGAGGCGATCAGTTGATCTTCCGATCAATTGGTTGGAAGAATCAATATTGTGAAAATGACTATACTACCCAAAGCAGTCTACAGATTCAATGCAGTCCCTATCAAACTACCAATGACATCCTTCACAGAATTAGAACAAAAAATTTTACAATTTCTATGGAAACACAAAAGACCCTGAATAACCAAAGCAATCTTGAGAAAGAAAAATGGAGTTGGAGGAATGAGGCTCCCTGACTTCAAACTATACCACAAAGCTATAGTAATCAGGACAGTATGGCACTGGCAGAAAAACAGAAATATAGATCAATGGTATAGGATAGAATGCCCAGAGATAAACCCACACACATATGGGCACCTAATTTACAACAAAGGAGGCAAGAACATACAATGGAGAAAAGACAGCCTCTTCAGTAAGTGGTGCTGGAAAACTGGACAGCTACATGTAAAAGAGTGAAATTAGAACACTACCGAACACCATACACAAAACTTAACTCCAAATGGATTAAAGACTTAAACGTAAGACCAGACACTATAAAACTCTTAGAGGAAAACATAGGAAAAACACTCTTTGACATAAAGCACAGCAAGATCTTTTTCACTCACCTCTTAGAGTAACAGAAATAAAAACAAAACTAAACAATGGGACTTAATGAAACTTAAAAGCTTTTGCACAGAAAAGGAAACCATAAACAAGACAAAAGACAACCCTCAGAATGGGAGAAAATATTTGCAAATGAAACAACAGACAAAGGATTAATCTCCAAAATATACAACAGGTCATGGAACTCAATATCAAAAAAACCCAAAACAATCCAGTTAAAAAATGGGCCAAAGACTTAAATAGATATTTCACCGAGGAAGACATACAGATGGCCAACAGGCACATTAAAAGATCCTCAACGTCACTAATTATTAGAGAGATGCAAATCAAAACTACAATGAGGTATCACCTCATGCTGGTCAGAATGGCCATTATCAAAAAATCTAGAAACAGTAAATGCTGGTAAGGGTGTGGTGAAAAGGGAACCCTCCTGCACTGTTGGTGGGAATGTAAATTGATACAACCACTATGGAAAACAGTATGGAGTTTCCTTAAAAAACTAAAAATAGAACTACCATACAACCCAGCAATCCCACTACTGGACAAATACCCTGAGAAAAACATAATTCAAAATGAGACATACACCACAATGTTCATTGCAGCACTGTTTACAAAAGCCAGGATATGGAACCAAACTAAATGCCCATTGACAGATGAATGGATAAAGAAGATGTGGCACATGTAAACAATGGAATATTTCTCAGCCATAAAAAGAAAGGAAATTGAGTTTTGTAGTGAGGTGGATGGACCTAGAGTCTGTCATACAGAGTGAAGTAAGTCAGAAAGAAAAACAAACACCATATGCTAACGCATATGTATGGAACCTAAAAGAAAAAAGGTACTGATGAACCTAGATGCAGAGCAGGAATAAAGAGGTAGACATAGAAGATAGACTTCTGGACATGGGGTGGGAGGGCGAAGGTGGGGCGAAGTGAGAGTAGAATTGACATATATACACTACCGAATGTAAAATATTTGGCTGGTGGGAAACAACAGCATAGCACAGGGAGATCAGGTCGGTGCTTTGCGATGACCTAGAGGGGTGGGGTAGGGAGGATGGGAGGGAGGCTCAAGAGGGAGGGGATATGGGGACATATGGCTGATTTGCTTTGTTGTGCAACAGAAACTAAAGATGACAGTATTGTGAAGCAATTATACTGCAATATAGATCTATTAAGAAATATTTAATCATATTTTTTCTCATGGTTTTGTTGATTTCTGTGTTTGTGTGTGTGTGTGTGTCTGTGTGTATTAAGGGTAAAGTTCAAAATTTCCATACAGAATAGTAGATGGCCAAGCTCAATAAGAAATAGAGAATTTGATGAAACATTAAATGATTAATAAATAAATGAAAACAGCATCTAATTCAAAAAAGAGTTTCATTGATATGAAATTGAACTATTTACACAGTAGGGATATCATGCTCTTTTTGGGTTTTGCAGATAATAGAGTTTAAAAATGTTTGTGAATGGATTACTTGATCAGTCAATAAACAAATAGAAATGAACAAAGAACAGAGACATATTCATGGACGAAGTATGATGATCGTTCCGGGAATAGTCCTTAGTGATGAAAACATGTCTGAAACTCTGAGGTCCAACACAGAGCATAAGTAGTCTATTTCCTTCATTAAAATTGTATAGGGAGATGTCAGGAATACCAAAAGATCATATTCTTGTTGATTTTATAGAGTTATAGTTGTTATTTGTAATTGATCTGTGATGGACTCATTAAGCAAATATAGATGTATAGGGAAAAATAGGGTGAAGTATTTTTCTCATATGAACACCTTTGTTGAAGCAAAAGATATTGTGAATAAAAACTGAAAATTCTGAATCCCATTAAATAAATGGGTGAGGGTCACCTCCTTGACCAGAGTTCTATAAACACATCTTCTGTGTTTTGTACTCAGAATGAATGCACTAGCGATGGTTTAGAATCACCCATGGCCACCAGGTCTGTGGTTGCCTCTGTATAATAGGAGGATGGAGATTAATGTGAGTAATAGTTGAAGTTCTTTTTTCAGTTTTTTTTTTATTAAAGAAATTCACTGTATCGTTAAGAAATGTGGAATATGAGTAAAGAAGGTAGCTGCATTTCAGTGTTGAGTATGTTATTACAAGCCATTATATTGATTAATGCATATATGGAAAACTGAGCATTAATATGAGACATATGTTAAACTAAGAATAATTCCATATACATCAGTGCTCTTGTTTTTTATTATCGTGATGCTAAAATTATCAGTGAATTTGTGATTTATACAATAAAGAAATAAAAATGTATGTAGAAAAGAGGGTCAATATTGGATCAATGATGACTACCCGTGGCGTAAGAGTCGTGTATGATGAATACGTGTCTGGAACTCTGAGGCCCAATGCAAATGGAATCTATTCCATTGTCTTGTTTGAAGTGATCCTATAGGCAGAGGTTAGGAATATACAAAGATATTTGTTTTGGTTATTATGACCATGCATTTAAAAAATTTTTATGATTGGATCAATGAAGTAGTCAATGTACAGATTTGTAAATTAAACAATGATGAATATGAAGGCTTTTCAATAATAAAAATATGTGGTTAGTCAAAAATTACTATTATATACAAATACATTAATATATATTGAAAAGACGTTTTTAGGTAAAAAGTTATATAAAGATGTTATCTCTTTGGTTAAGAGTGATACAGAAAATGATAGGTATTAGTTACTGACTGAGTCAGTAAGCACTTTGACATTTGATTCATTAAGGAAAAAACAAATAAATAATTACCATAATTTAGTAAATGACTAAATTACTGTGCAAATGAATAGCGGAATATTGGATAAATGGAGAATAAATAAATAGATGGATAAATCTGAATATTTTTATCACCTTGTCTGCTTGTTACTCTTCAGGACAGATGTTCCCCCTACTTCAGCTTCTGCTGTGCTCAGCTGTCCTGCTGCTTCTGTGTCAGAAAGTAACTAAGGTAAATAACAGGCAAGGTTGGTGTTCTTGGATTAGGTAATGTGTTTGAGGGTACTCATGGGGTTATTAAAAAGTATTAAATTAATCAAAAATTACTCATAGTTCAAGGATAAATCTGAGAAGAAATATTATTTTGAATAATTGATAGTGGGCAGGATTGAGGTTGAATAATGCAAGAGGTGGACCCTTAATGGGAAATGATTCTTAAACTGAGAATTAGGGATATTGAAGGGTCTTATTCTTGGGGTTATTATCCACTAATTAATGATTTAATCAATTATTAAATATACAAATGAATGAAGAGAAGAGACTCAGTCGTGGACCAATGATGATGATCGTTTCGGGAAGAGTCCTGAACGATGAAAACATGTCTGAAACTCTGAGGTCCAACCCAGAACATAAGTAGTCTCTCCCTCTTTGAAATTGCTTTTGTGGAAAGAGGTCAGGAATATTTAAAGATCATATTCTTGTATTGATTTCATGGATTTAGATTTGTTAGTATTAATGGATCTGTGATGGAACCATTAAGCAAATATTAATTAACATGTAAGGAAAGAATAGGGTGAAGCATGGTCCAAATTGAACATATTTCGTGACGCAAAAGATATGGTTAATAAACATTGAAAACACTGATGCCCATTAGATAAATGGGTGAGGGTCTCTTATTTGACCAAGATTAGATAGAAATGCATAAGTAGGCATCAGTTTAATTGTTCTGCTTTAGCCAAATGGTCGTGTTTTCTCTTTTAACAAGACAAAAAATAGAGAGAATAAGAAAAACTAATAAATATCTAAATACTGACTAAATGAAATGTAGAAAACAAGGATCACTGGTGATTAGGTCTCAATATTTTTATTATCTTTCATGTTCTGTGCTCCCCAGAATGCATGCATCATTTAGCATCTTCCATGAACATGAGCTCTGTGGTTGCTTCTGTATAATAGGAGGGTGAAGATTAATGTGAGTAATAGTTGAAGTTCTTTTTTCAGTTTGCTTTTTTATTAAAGTAATTCGCTGTATTGTTTGGAATGTGGAATATAAATAAAGAAGGCAGCTGTATCTCAGTATTGAGTATGGATATACAAACCATCATATTGATTAATGCATATATGGAAAACTGAGACTGTTAGTATGAGATGTATTACACTGAGAATAATTCTATGTACATCAGGGGTCTTCTTGGGTTTTTTGAATTGTACTGCTAAAATTATTAGTGAGTTTTTAATTTAATCAATAAAGAAATAGAAATGTATGTAGAAAGAAGAACAGTACTGGATCGATGATGATTTCTGGTCATCATCAATATGACTTGTATATGATGAATACATGTCTGGAACTCTGAGGTCCAATATTAAATTAAGCTTGTCCATTCTCAGCTTGAGAAGGTGTCCTATAGACAAATGTTAGGAATAAATGAGGGGCTTGTTTTTCGTCTTTGTGTTCATGCATTTCATTCTCTTATTATAATTGGATAATATGAGAATCTATAAATAAATATATAATTAAAACTAACGATGAATGGAGTAAAACACTTTCCAATTACCAAAGTATGTGGTGAGACAAGAAATGTTATTAGTATATCCTGGAAACCCTGAAGTTCAATTAGTAATGAATGGTACATGACCATTACCACTTAGGGTAAGAATGAGGTAGACAGGATAATTTGTAGACAACCTTCATATTCTGGCTCAGTGGCAAGATTGAAGTGGTTCGTTTTCAACAGACTTAATACATACACTAAATTAATGATTGCCTAAATATTTGTGTGAATGTGGAAGCAGGGCTGAGTGGAGAGTGTCTCCACCATTTTAATCTTCTGCTTTGCTTTATACTCCTCAGAGTGGACACACTGGACCTGAAAGAAAGGTTCTTCCTTGAGCACCAGCCTAGGATGGCATCTTTGTTTTAGGAGCCAAGAGACCAGTGTGAGCAAAATCAAATTTGTAGTCTTGGGTTGGGTGGTTTGTCTAACATATTTACTGTATTAATAAAATATTTGAAGTATAATTAAAGAAGGCCATTTTAATCCTATTGATAATAAAGAGATTAATATGAAGCATTATATTGATTCATGCAGATTTGAAAAACTGATCATAAATATGAAAGTGATATAATTATGTGAGTATCTTTCTAGAGGCATGTTAGTGGTATCAAGGCCTTGTTGGGTTTTGTGACACATAGAGTTATAGATTATAATTAGTGAATCAATGAACTAATCAATTAACAATATAGAATGAAGAGACATTCATCTTTTCTGGATCAGTGATGATAAATGCCGGCGTATGAGTCATCGATGATGAATAATACGTGTCTCGAACTCTGAGGTCCAATACACAAGAAATGTGGTCTTTCTTTTCATGCATGTTCATTGGTTATGCTAATTAAGCCACTGAAAGCATCAATCAAGAAATCTGCGGATCAAAGGAGAGAAAGTCTCAATCTCGGTCATCACTTTCTCTGTTTGGTACTTTTCAGAATAGTAGCTCAAGGTGATTTCAGCCTCCATTGTGATCAAGGCTTTCCTTTTCGGGTTGCTATGGGACAGAGACCCAGGTGAGTAATGGCCAGTGTTCCTCTCTTGGTTTGGGGAATTGGTTTAAGTGTTTTCATTGTATTTTCAAACATAATCGATATATATCAAAGGGTTGATGATGGCCTGTTGGTAAATAACCATGAGAGCTTATGCTGATGAAGTGATAATCTAGAACCTGGAAATTCATTAACCAAGGAGATCTCATGTATGGTGATAATGTTTGGAGAGAAGTTAGGGATATTCGCTGGTCTGGTTCTTGGGTTTTGGGTATTCATGTTTTTCTTTCATTAGTATTAATAATGTGATGATTTAATTGATAGAGGTGTACCAATGAATGAACTAAAATTGGACCCAAGGGGACCAACGATGAAGTTGGGTAGAGGATGAGGCATTAATGGGCAAGGAACCATAAGTATCTGGAAGCCTGAGGGCCAAGAAGTGTACACATTCTATTTTCTACATTGATTTCGTCCTATGGACACATGTTTGAAATATATAAAGTCATGCTCTTAGTTTGGGTTAATAGATTTTGATTTAGTATTATTAATGGATAAATAATAGAACCAATAAAGATATATAAATAATAGCTTAAGAAGAAAAGGTAAATTATTATGTACCTATGAAAATATATTGTCAGCCAAGAAATAGTAATGAAAATTGCCAGCACTGATGCCCGTTAGGAAATGAACGGATCAATGGTGTCACCTCTTTGACCAAGCATCATACAGATGTGAATTGATTGTCAGTTTTATTGATCTGTGTCATTCTCAGAGTTTGAGGTTCTTTTTGTTCATAGAAAAGTTCTCTAAATTATGAAATGTTATAAATTCCTCATGATTTGTGTACTATAAATCTAGAAAGCAAGAATCAATCGCAATACATTTTCCTTTTTTTTTAAACATCGGCTGTGCATTGTACTTCTGAAAATGGACACGTTCGAGCTGATTAACCGTGATTCCATGGTCATGCACCTTATGACTGCATCGCTGTGTTAGATTCACAGGAACCAATGTGAGTAATAGTCAAATTTCTTGTCTCAGTTTCAGTGATTTTTTTTTCCTGTGCATTTATTCACTGTTTTATTTGAAAGTTCCATACAGAATAAAAGAAGGCCACCTGTAGCTCAGTGACATATATTGAATACTGCTTAGATGAAAAATGGCATCATTATTTTTAAGAAAGATACTCTGCTGTGAGAATGAATTATTTACAGAATAAGGATATCATGACTCTTCTTGGGTTTTGTGAATAAACTGTTTTAAATTATTATGATTGATTTTCTGAATTAGTCAATAAACCACCTAGAAATGAGTGAAGAAAAAGAGGAACAATATTGGATTGATGATGACTACTGGTGGCGTATGAGTCGTGTACGATGACTGGCAGTCTGATGTCCGATGCAAATGGAATCTAGTCCATTGTCCTATTTGAGTTGATTCTAGAGACACTTGTCTGATATATATACAAGGGACTTGTTTTTGGTCTTTATGTGTGTGCATTTTCTTTATATTTTATAATTGGGTTAATCAAATAAGCAATAAATAAGCATATAAATAAATAAAGATGAAGGCAGTGAAATATTGTCCAATTATAAACATATGTGGTGATAGAAGAAACAATATTAGTAAATTTGAAAACAGTGAAGTCCAAAGAGGAATAAATGGTACATGAAAAATCTTTGACTAAGAGAAAGATGGACAATTGTAGTAATAATCACTGCTCATTTTCTTGGTCAGCGTCAAGTTTTAGGTTCATTTTCTTAAGAGAAATTGAAATAAATATACTCCAAATCAACGATTGTCTAAACCACTGAAAAATGAAATGCAGAAACGAGGATCAGTGGAGATTAGTTCTCAGTTTTTTATCATGTGCTCTGCCCTGTGCTCCTCAGAATGGATGCCCTTGAGCTGATTTAAGCATCTTGCATGGTCAGGAGCCCTATGGTTGCATCTGTGTTAGGAGGATGGAGAACAATGTGAGTAGTAGTCAGTGTTCGTGTCTTGGATTTGAGCCGTATTTTTAAAAAGACACTTACTGTATTGTTAAAAAATATAGTAGAAGTCCAAACTTGCCAAAGTCAAGGAATATGATCATTAATCCATGTATGAAACACTGAGTTCAGTTAATGAGAGAGTTGAGTGTCAGGGGAGATGATGGTTTAGATAGATGTTAGGGATATTTAAGGGTCTTACTCATGATTTATTTGTGTGACTTATGTTTATTTATTTATTTTAAAATATTTATTTATTTATTTGGCTATGCCAGGTCTTAGTTGCAGCATTCAGGATCTTTAGTTGCAGCATGCAGGGTCTTTAGTTGCAGCATGTGAGCTCTTAGTTGTGGCATGCAGTATCTAGTTCCCTGACCAGGGATCAAACCCGGGCCCCCTGCATTGGGAGCATGGGAAGTCATTTAAATAATAGTGAATTAATCAATAAACAGATGTAGATGATACTGGAGAAAAGAGCCCCTCCTGGACCACTGATGATGACTGGAGGCATAGGAGTCATATATGGTGAATGCCATGTGTCTGTAACCCTGATTCCACACAATGCAAAATCTAGCCAATGTTCTGTTATAAATGACCCCATGGGTCGATGTTAGGAAAATACAAACATCATATTCCATTTTGGGGGTTAGATGTATTAATAATAATAAATCAGTAATTGAGCCCTGAAAAAATGTAAAAAAAAGATGAAAAGAAGAAGGTGAAGCATTGTCCACCAGGATCATATGTGGTCAGGCAAGAAATATTATTAATAAAATAGAAAACATTCATGCCCTTTAAGCAATAAATGAAAAAGTGTCTTGCCCTTTTGCTGAAAGGATCATACAGACACTGATAAGTAAGAGTCAACATTATTGTTCTGGGTCAGTCTCAAGTTTAAGGTTTTCTTTTGTTAAGAGAAAAAAATACTACACTATGAAAAATTCATGAATGCTTAAATGAGTAAATGAAATGTGGATAACAAGGATCAATGGAGATAAGGTCTGAAAATTTTTATCATCTTTTCTGCTCTGTACTCCTTAGAATGGGAGCACTTAAGCTGGTGGAAGGATTCTTCTGTGGTCCTGAGAGCTCTGGTTGCATTCACGTGTTAGGACTGTGGAGACCATGTGAGTAATAGACAAATTTTGGGCTTAGTTTCAATATTTTATTTAAGGCTATTGACTGTATTATTGCAAGTTGTGAAATATAATCAATGAAATCCAAATAGCCCAGTGTGAAATATGGGATTAATATGAAGTACTATATTGATTCATTCATAAAATGAAAAATGAGAGTTATTAATGAAAGATGTTGACACGAGAATGATTCTAAATATATATTAGATATTTCTAAGCTCTTTGGTGGTTCCGATGAATAACCATTTTAAAAATTATAATTACTGAATTATGAATTGACCAATAAATAGTGTGGAAAGGAATGAATAAAAAGAGATACAGTACTGGATTAATGATGACTACTGGCAGTGTGTGAGTCATATACGATGAGTGTGTGTCTGGAACTCTGAGGCCCAATAAAATTAATCTAGTCCGTTTTCATTATTTGAAGGTATTCTATAGACAGATGTCAGGAATATACCGAGATCTTGATTTGTTCCTTATGTGCATGCATTTTCATCTATTATTGTAATTGGATAAATGAGAGAATCTATAAATAATTATATAAATCAGTAAAGATGAATGCGTGAAGCATTGGCCATTATATAAATATGTGAATGGTATATGACTGTTAACTGTTTTCTAAGGGAATAAAAGTCTTACATAATGTTCATAATCTGGTCAAGGGTCAAACTTGTTCATTTTCTTAAGAGAAATGAATATTCACACCAAATTAATGATTGCCTAAGGATTGATTAAATGGAAGATAAAAGCAATCAATGATCAGTGGAGAGAATGCCTCAACCATTTTTGTCATCTGTTCTTCCCTCTTCTCCTCAGAAGCAACACAGTGGACCTGATTTAAGGACCTTTCCTTGATTGACAGCCTTAGGATAGGATCTGTGTTTTAGGATCCCAGAGATCTATGTGAGTAATAAGCAAATTCTTTCCTTGGTTTGAATGTTTTGTTAAGGGTCTTCATTGTGTTAACAAAAATAATTAAAAATATTCCAGAAAGTCCAATGTGTCCTTGTAACAAATATGTGATTAATAGAATCACAATGATTAAAGCATTTATGAAAAGTTGTATAATTAATAACAAAGATACATTGATTTGAGAATGACTCAAGATACATATCAGGAATAACAAGGACTTCTTGGTGTTTTGTGAATCATATTGTTTTAAAGTTGTAATTAGTGAATTAATGAATTAACCAATAAATGATATAGAATGAATGAAGAGAAAGTCATCTTTTCTGGATCGATGATGATAAATGCCAGCGCATGAGTCATCGATGACGAATAATACGTGTCTGGACCTCTCAGGTCCAATACACAAGAAATGTGGTCTATCTCTTCATGCGTTTTCACTGGTTATGCTAATTGAGCCAATGAAAGCATCAGTAAACAAATCTGCTGGTCCATGGAGAGAAAGTCTCAATCTCGGTCATCACCTTCTCTGTTTGGTACTTTTCAGAATAGAAGCTCAAGGTGAGTTCAGCCTCCATGTTGATCAAGGTTCTCCTTTTCAGGTTGCTATGGGACAGAGACCCAGGTGAGCTATAGCCAGGGTTCCTGTCTTGGTTTGGGGAGTTGGTTTAAGTGTTTTCATTGTGTTCTTTGAAAGTAGTAAATATAATCAAAAAGTTAACTATGGCCCAATGATAAATATCATATAAGACCTTATGTTGATTAATTGATAATATATAACATTCATATTTATTAATGAATGATATAATCTATGTTGGTATTAGAGACAAGTCAGGGATATCCAATGGCTAGTTCTTTGGTTTTTGTTACTCAAATATTTATTTTATTATTATAAGTGAAGTCATCATTTAATTGATACAAATATATAAATAAATGAACTAAACATGGGCCCAAATGAATCAATGATGATTAACACATGACCATGGATGATGAAAAATAAGGGTCTGGAACGCTGAGGCCCAACACAGTCCATACTCTTTTTCTTTGTTTATTTCATCCTATGCACAGATGTTAAGAAGTTCAAGTGCTTAGACCGAGTTTAAAAATTAGTAATACAGCAATGAGAGCACTATTAAAAATATGTAGATAATAGATGAAGAAGAACAGTAAATTATTGTCTAATTAGGAATATATATAATGAGGCAAGAAATATTAATAAAAATTGCCAACATTGATGTCCATTATGAAATGGATGGCTCAAGGGTATCACCTCTCTGGCCAAGTATCAAATAGACTTGAACTATTCAGAGTTGATTTTATTGTTCTGAGTCAATCTCAAGTTTGAAGTTGTTCTTTCTGTTAAGAAGAAACAATGTCTGCATTATAAAAAAGCTATAAATTCCTAAATGACTGGGTAAATGAAATGTAGAATGCAAGAGTCAATGGCAATAAATTTGTTTTTTTTTCTCATTGGCTGTACTTCATATTGTTCAAAATGGACACATTCACGCTGATGGAGCGTTATTCCATGGTGATGCACCTTAATGATTGCATCTCTATGTTAGAAGCACAGAGACCAATGTGAGTAATAGTCAAATTTCTTGTCTTGGTTTCAGTGATTTTTTTTCCCTCTGTGTGTGTATACAGTGTACTATTTGAAAGTTCCATATAGGATAACAGAGGGACAATGCAGCTCAGTGATACAGAAGTTTATGAAACATTAATTGATTAATGCATAGATGAGTAACAGCATAAAATTTAAAAAGAGGTACATTGCTGTGAGAATGATCTATTTATAGATAGAAATATCATGACTCTTCTTGGGATTTGTGAATAATAGGGTTTTAAAATTATTATGAGTGACTTACTGAATTAGTCAATAAGCAAATAGAAATGAACATAAAAGAGACTCAATCATGGGCCAACGATGATGATTGTGATGGGGAGAGTCCTGAACGACGAAAACATGGTTGAAACTGAGGTCCAACCCAGATCAAAAGTATTCTATTCCCTGTTTGAAATTATTTCTATAGAGAGATGTCAGGAATATAAAGAAATCATATTCTTATATTGATTTCATAGACTTAGATTTGTTGTTATTAATGGATCTGTGATGGAACCATTAAGCAAGTATAAATAAACCTATAAGGAAAAGGAGGGTGAAACATTGTCCAAACTGGAACTTTGTGACAAAAGTTACTGTTAACAAACATTGAAAACACTGATGCCCATTAAATAAATGGCTGAGGGCCACCTATTTGACCCAGTTTGGATAGAAATGCATATGTAAGAGTCAGTTTACTTGTTCTGCCTCAGACTAAAGACTGAGCTTTCTCTTTTAACAAAATAGAAAGTATTGAAAGAAAAAATAATAACTACCTAAATACTGAGTAAATGAAATTTGGAAAATAAGGATCAATGGCAATTAGGTCTGAATATTTTTACCATCTCCTGTGTTCTGTACTCCTCAGAATGAAGGCAGTAGAGATGATTTAGCATCCTTCATGGGCATGAGCTCTGTGCTTGCCTCTGAACAGTAGGAGGATGGAGATTAACGTGAGTAATAGTCGAAGTTCTTTTCTCAGTTTGTTTTTTTATTAAAGTAATTCAATGTATGATTAAGAAATGTGGACTATAAGCAAAGAAGGCGGCTGCATCTCAGTGTTGAGTATTGGTAAAAGAATCATTATATTGATTAATGAATATACGGAAAACTGAGAGTGTTAATGAGAGATGTATTAAAGTAAGAATATTCTATATACATCAAAGCTCTTCTTGTTTTTCTAATTGTACTGATAAAATTATTAGTGAATTTGTGATTTACACAATAAAGAAATAGAAATATATTTAGAAAAAAAGGGACAATATGGGATCGATGATGACTACCGGTGGCGTATGAGTCGTGTACGATGAATACGTGTCTGGAGCTCTGAGGTCCGATGCAAATGGATTCTAGTCCATTTTCCTGTTTGCAGTGACCTTATAGGCAGTGGTTAGGAATACACAAAGATGTTTGTTTTGGTTATTATGACCAGGCATTTTTTCTATTTTTATAACTGAATCAATGAAATAGTGAATATACAGATGTGTAAAATTTAAAAAATGAATGTGAAGCCTTTTCCAATTATAAAAATATGTGGTTAGGCAAAAATTACTATCGTATATTAATACATTAATATTTTTTGAGGGGCTTCCCTGGCGGTCCAGTGGTTAAGAATTCGTCTTCCAATGCAGTGGGTGCGGTTTCGATCCCTGGTCGGGGAGCTAAGATCCCACATGCCTCGTGGCCCAAAAAAACAAAACATAAAACAGAAGCGATATTGGAACAAATTCAGTAAAGACTTTAAAAATGGTCCACATCCAAAAAAACCCCCATAATTCTTTTTAAAAAAATTTATTGAAAAGACTGATAACCATGGGGAAAGAAGTGGTATATCACCTCTTTGGCTAGGGGCGATCTAGAAAGTGACAGGTATTGGTTACTGACTGAGTCAGTTACAACTTTGACATTTGATTTATTAAGGGAAAAAGAAACAACTATTACCATAATTTAGTCAATGCCTCAATTACTGTGCAAATGAATAGTGTGATATTTGGATCAATGGAGAGCGTATCTCAGTATTTTTATCACCGTGTCTGCTTGTTATTCTTCAGGATGGATGTTCCTGCTATTTCAGCTTCTGCTGTGCTCACTTGTCACACCGCCCCTGTGTCAGGAAGGAAACTAAGGTGAGCAATGGGCAAGGTTGTTGTCTTGGACTGGTGGTGCGTTTGTGGGTACTCATGGTGTTATTAAAAAGTATTACATTAATCAAAAACTTACTCATAGTTCAATGATAAATATAAGAAATATTCTTTTGAATAATTGATAATGGATAGGTTTGAGGTTGAAAATTGGAAGAGATGGGCCCTTAGTGGGAAATGATTCTGTAAACTGAGGTTAGGGGTATTGAAGAGTCTTATTCTTGGAATATTTAGTGAACCATATATTATTTTTATTATTACCAATTAATTAATGATTTAATCAATACAAATATGGAAATGATGGAAGAAAAGAGACTCAGTGATGGACCAATGATGATGATCGTGACGGGAAGAGTCCTGAACGATGAAAACATGTCTGAAACTCTGAGGTCCAGCCCAGACCATAAGTAGTCTCTTCCTTCTGGTGAAATTGTCTCTATAGAGAGATGACAGGAATATAAATAGATCATATCTTTGTATGGATTTCACAGACTTAGATTTGTTATTATTAATGGATCTCTGATAGAACCATTAAACAAATACAAATAAACATAAGGAAAAGTAGGGTGAAGCACTGTCCAAATATGAACGTATTTGGTTTAGCAAAAGACAGTGTTAGTAAACACTGAAAACACTGCTGCCCATTAAATAAATGGCTGAAGGTCATCTCTTTGACCAAGCTTAGATAGATGCATCAGTAAAGACAGTTTAATTGTTCTGCCTAAGACTATAGATTAAGCTTTCTCTTTTAACAAGATAAAAAATATAGACAGAAAGAAAAAGTAATAAATACCTAAATACTGAGTAAACGAAATGCAGAAAACAAGGATCAGTGGTTATTAGGTCTCAATATTTTTATCATCTTCTGTGCTGTGTACTCCTCAGAATGAAGGCAGCAGAGATGATTTAGCATCGTCCATGCACAGGAGCTCTGAGTAACAGTTGACGTTCTCTGTTTTTTTATTAAAGTAATTTACGGTATTATTAAGAAATGTAGAATATAAGTAAAGAAGGCAGCCACATCTCAGTGCTGAGTATGAATATATGAACCATTCTATTGATTAATGTATATATGGAAAACAATGTATTATCGAGGAAGATATGTTACAGTAACAATACTTCTGTGTACACCAAGGCTCTTCTTGTTTTATTTTTTGAATTGTACTGCTGAAATTATTAGTGGATTTTTGATTTAAGCAATAAAGATATAGAAATGTATGTAGAAAAATAGGACCAATATTGGATCGATGATGATTTCTGGTCATCATCAATATGAGTCATATACGATGAATACATGTCTCGAACTCTGAGGTCCAATATTGAATTAAGCTAGTCCATTCTCAACTCGAGAAGGCATCCTATAGACAGATGTCAGGAAGAGCATCCCATTTTATTATCATCTCCTCTGCTTTATATTCCTCAGAACGGACGCACTGGAGCTGATTGAAGCATCTTGCGTGGTCACGAGCTCTCTGGTTTCATCTGTGCTGTAGGAGTATGAAGACCATGTGAGTAATAGTCAATGTTTTAGTTTCAGTGGTTTGTTTAAGGTTATTCATGTATTATTCAAAATATGAAATATAATCAAAGAAGGAAAAATGCCATGTTAGTATCAGAGTGACATGAAATGTTATGTTGATTAATCTATAAATGTATCCTTGAGGTCAGTTTTTGAAACAGAGTTAGTCTCTGGAAAAGATTTTAGAGATAGATATTGACAATATTTTAGTTTATTTTTTATTTCTGTGTATTTAGCAATGAATTTATCAATAAACAGATGTTTATGAGAATGAAAAGAGAGAGGGCTTTCATGGGCCAGTGATGATGAATGGTAGCAGATGACACTGGATAATGAGTAATATATGTCTAGATACTGAGGTCCAACAAAATACCTAGTGTATTTCTTGTATTTCATGTTAAGATATACCCAGTATATGTATTTGGTTCATAGATTTAGATTTATTATTATTAATGGATTAATTATAGAACCATTAAATAAATATAAATAACAGGTAAAGAAAAAAGGGTGAACTTTGTCTAAGTAGAAACATGTGGTGAGACAAGAAATACTATTAATAAAATTGAAAACACTGGAACTCAGGAATAAATGGGTCAAGAGCATCGCTTTGACTAAGGATCATATCAATACAGATAATTAAGAGTCAATTATATTGTTGTGGGTTTGTCTCAAGTTTGCTGTTGTTCATTTTGATAAGATAAAAATATCTCCACTGTGTATTCCATGCAAATGGAAACCAAAAGAAAGTTGGAGTAGCAGTTCTCATATCAGACAAAACAGACTTTAAAATAAAGATTATTACAAGAGACAAAGAAGGACACTACACAATGATCAAGGGATCAATCCAAGAAGAAGATATAACAATTGTAAATATTTATGCACCCAACATAGGAGCACCTCAATACATAAGGCAAATACTAACAGCCATAAAAGGGCAAATCAACAGTAACACATTCATAGTAGGGGGCTTTAACACCCCACTTTCACCAATGGACAGATCATCCAAAATGAAAATAAATAAGGAAACACAAGCTTTAAATGATACATTAAACAAGATGGACTTAATTGATATTTATAGGACATTCCATCCAAAAACAACAGAATACACATTTTTCTCAAGTGCTCATGGAACATTCTCCAGGATAGATCATATCTTGGGTCACAAATCAAGCATTGGTAAATTTAAGAAAATTGAAATTGTATCAAGTATCATTTCCGACCACAATGCTATGAGACTGGATATCAATTACAGGAAAAGATCTGTAAAAAATACAAACACATGGAAGCTAAACAATACACTACTTAATAACGAAGTGATCACTGAAGAAATCAAAAAATACCTAGAAACAAATGACAATGGAGACACGATGACCCAAAACCTGTGGGATGCAGCAAAAGCAGTTCTAAGAGGGAAGTTTATAGCAATACAATCCTACCTTAAGAAACAGGAAACATCTCGAATAAACAACCTAACCTTGCACCTAAAGCAATTAGAGGAAGAAGAACAAAAAAACCCCAAAGTTAGCAGAAGGAAAGAAATCATAATGATCAGATCAGAAATAAATGAAAAAGAAATGAAGGAAATGATAGCAAAGATCAATAAAACTAAGAGCTGGTTCTTTGAGAAGATAAACAAAATTGATAAACCATTAGCCAGACTCATCAAGAAAAAAAGGGAGAAGACTCAAATCAATAGAATTAGAAATGAAAAAGGAGAAGTAACAACTGACACTGCAGAAATACAAAAGATCATGAGAGATTACTACAAGCAACTCTATGCCAATAAAATGGACAACCTGGAAGAAATGGACAAATTCTTAGAAATGCACAACCTGCCAAGACTGAATCAGGAAGAAATAGAAAATATGAACAGACCAATCACAAGCACTGAAATTGATACTGCCATTAAAAATCTTCCAACAAACAAAAGCCCAGGACCAGATGGCTTCACAGGCTAATTCTTTCAAACATTTAGAGAAGAGCTGACACCTATCCTTCTCAAACTCTTACAAAATACAGCAGAGGGAGGAACATTCCCAAACCCATTGTACGAGGCCACCATCACCCTGATACCAAAACCAGACAAGGATGTCACAAAGAAAGAAAACTACAGGCCAATATCACTGATGAACATAGATGCAAAAATCCTCAAGAAAATACTAGCAAACAGAATCCAACAGCACATTAAAAGGATCATACACCATGATCAAGTGGGGTTTATTCCAGGAATGCAAGGATGTGTCAATATATGCAAATCAATCAATATGATACACCATATTAACAAACTGAAGGAGAAAAACCATATGATCATCTCAATAGATGCAGAGAAAGCTTTCGACAAAATTCAACACCGATTTATGATAAAAACCCTCCAGAAAGTAGGCATAGAGGGAACTTTCCTCAACATAATGAAGACCATCTATGACAAACCCACAGCCAACATCATCCTCAATGGTGAAAAACTGAAAGCATTTCCACTAAGATCAGGAACAAGACAACGTTGCCCACTCTCACCACTCTTATTCAACATAGTTTTGGAAGTTTTAGCCAAAGCAGTCAGAGAAGAAAAGGAAATAAAAGGAATCCAAATCGGAAAAGAAGAAGTAAAGCTGTCACTGTTTGCAGATGACATGATACTATACACAGAGAATCCTAAAGATGCTACCAGAAAACTACTAGAGCTAATGAATGAATTTGGTAAAGTAGCAGGATACAAAATTAATGCACAGAAATCTCTGGCATTCCTATGCACTAATGATGAAACATCTGAAAGTGAAATAAACCCACGCACATATGGTCACCTTATCTTTGATAAGGGAGGCAGGAATGTACAGTGGAGAAAGGACAGCCTCTTCAATAAGTGGTGCTGGGAAAAGTGGACAGGTACATGTAAAAGTATGAGATTAGATCACTCCCTAACACTGTACACAAAAATAAGCTCAAAATGGATTAAAGACCTAAAGGTAAAGCCAGAAACTATCAAACTCTTAGAAGAAAACATAGAATACTCTATGACATAAATCACAGCAAGATCCTTTTTGACCCACCTCCTAGAGAAATGGAAATAAAAACAAAAATAAACAAATGGGACCTAATGAAACTTCAAAGCTTTTGCACAGCAAAGGAAACGATAAACAAGACCAAAAGACAACCCTCAGAATGGGAGAAAATATTTGCAAATGAAGCAACTGACAAAGGATTAATCTCCAAAATTTACAAGCAGCTCAATAACAAAAAAACCAACAACCCAATCCAAAAATGGGCAAAATACCTAAATAGACATTTCTCCAAAGAAGATATACAGACTGCCAACAAACACATGAAAGAATGCTCAACGTCATTAATCATTAGAGAAATGCAAATCAAAACTACAATAAGATATCATCTTACACCAGTCAGAATGGCCATCATCAAAAAATGTAGAAACAATAAATGCTGGAGACGGTGTGGAGAAAAGGGGACACTCTTGCACTGCTGTTGGGAATGTGAATTGGTTCAGCCACTATGGAGAACAGTATGGAGGTTCCTTAAAAAACTAAAAATAGAACTACCATATGACCCAGCAATCCCACTACTGGGCATATGCCCTCAGAAAACCATAATTCAAAAAGAGTCATGTACCAAAATGTTCATTGCAGCTCTAGTTACAATAGCCAGGAGATGGAAACAACCTAAGTGTCCATCATCGGATGAATGGATAAATAAGATGTGGCACATATATACAATGGAATATTACTCAGCCATCAAAACAAACAAAATTGAGCTATTTGTAATGAGGTGGATGGACCTAGAGTCTGTCATACAGAGTGAAGTAAGTCAGAAAGAGAAAAACAAATACCGTATGCTAACACATATATATGGAATTTGAGAAAAAATAACGTCATGAAGAACCTAGGGGTAAGACGGGAATAAAGACACAGACCTTCTAGAGAATGGACTTGAGGATATGGGGAGGGGGAAAGGTAAGCTGTGACAAAGTGAGAGAGTGGCACGGACATATATACACTACCAAATGTAAAATAGATAGCTAGTGGGAAGCAGCCGCATAGCACATGGAGATCAGCTCGGTGCTTTGTGACCACCTAGAGGGTTGGGATAGGGAGGG